AGTTGGGGTTTATTAACTGCTTTCCAAGATTTAAAAATAAAAAAGGAAAAAGACAACAGTGTTGGATTTAGTTGCATTTTAATTACTATAGATCAGGGGCACACAATTCCAGTCCTGAAGGGCTAGAAGATTTCTGGTTTTCAGCTTAATCCTCTACTATAGGTCATTCAAATTTAGCTTGCTGCACATGTGGGTGATTCAGAATGCTGACTGTTGAGAGTGCACGGAATTTGCTAGGAGAGCTGATTTGGCATGCAGTATGTAGTACTTTATTTTCCTTGCAATGATCATGTCTAGAAATGGGTTTCATACAGAACTTTGTGAGCTTTTTTTTTTTTTTACAGTTACCCTATAGTGCTATTATCGGTTCAAGCGTTATCATGTGTGTTGAGTGCTTAAGAGAATTCTGCAATTTCAGAATTTCTGGTTTCCCTTTTTACATATGTAACCTGCCCCTTTGCCCCCCCTCAAAAAAAAAGAACTGGCACTCTCCCAGGCAAGACTGAGACTTACAAATGATCTGCCCAGTAGTGGGTAAGGTGACAGTGCCATTTTCTCATCTGTTTTTTTTGTTGGATTTAAATCAGAATTGCCTGGATGGCAATAGCAGCTCTACTGCCGTTTCCTTTATCATGCTCTTATTACTGTATAGAGCTGTTTTGCTTTGGTGCCAATTCTGTCAGGATACAAGTTCTGTTATGCAGCTTGCCTGCTTCAGTTCAGTGAAACAAAAGTGACTTCCAACACGGGCAAAAAAAAGAAGAATGTTTTGGACATCTTGGCTGATGCTCCTCCCTCTCTCCCTACAGTTTCCGTTTAGCTCCCTGTTCAGGCTCTGCTTTCCCATTTGAGGTTAAATCATGTAAATCTGTGTTTCGGAGTTTCTGATTAACAGACTAACTGAGCTAGAAAGGACGCAGGCTGGGTGGGTTTGTACCCGATTTCCACTCTCACTGCCCTTATTTGGTAACACTGCTGCAGCTGGAATGGGGAAGGACGGACAATTTTTTTTCACTTTTTTTTTTCTGGAGAGGATGATCTGATCTTTCTAGGGAAAGGGGAGACCAAGGAAATGATTTTTGGTGCAGTTTTAAACCTCTGAAGAAGGCTTTTTGTCAGATCTTCCTCAGCAGATCTGCTTTCATTAGACCAAATGTTGGAATATGTTGAATTGCTGTCCAGTATTAAGAAGACCTGTTCGGTTCTTTGAAAAAAAGTTGGGATTTAAATGCATGAATGATTTCATAGTTCCATTTACCTCCACATGGATATGAATTGCCAAAGCAAATCGTAACCATGTCTGTGAGAGATATAAAAAAAAAGATTAATATTGTTACAAATCTATCAGCCATTTGAGGACATTTAAGACGGTGTTCTTTGGGTTTTGGGTAATGTGGAAATCTGAAAATTCATGAGCACTGCAGTACAGCTCTCACCATGAGGCAGCCCTCATCACAAGTCTGGTCTCAAACCACTTGCTGCTGGGTTTTGTGAAGAAGTCTGGGGCTTGATGTCAGAAATGCCATTCACCTTTGGGTGTAAGAGTCTAACCCCTTCTTCCAGTTCTGGCTCACAGGGAAGCCAGAGACTATTCTGGTAAGGAATGGGCACATGGCAGTGTAGATCGATCCTGGATGGGACACCAGTCCATTACAGGGGACACACATACACAGGCACAAACACGCACACACTTACACCAGGGCCAATTGTCCCGGAAGCCATTTAAATATGTTTTTGGACTGTGGTTGGAAACTGGAGCACCAAGAGCAAAGAGTGAAGCAAAAGCAAACATGGGGAGAACATACAAACCCCACACAGATAGCAAGCCTGGGCTCCAGTGCTGCAAGGCAGCAATACCAACCTTTATGCCACCATGCTGCCTGTGACCAAAGTCAGTCATCTAATTTTATTTTCTTTCACTCATGTTACATTATACCTCAAAGCTATTTACTGTAGAATAAATGTTTTGGACACATGAAGATTTGCATCCCAAAAGGCATATTGAACTAGACTTTTCTTTTAGGTAGCATATGCTGGCAGAACATGAAGAAAAAAAGGAAATAAAGCAGACAGAGCTATATATGGCATGTTTACATCTCTCTCCCTGCAAAATTAAAGTGTCTGCACTGCTACCTTTACCTTGGGGAAATAACTTTGAGTTAGTGATGTACTGGTGGATAAATGAGAATACTTGACCCGACATCATAAGCTAAACATGCATATTAGTAAATTGGTTCTTTTCACCATATTTTCAAATGTAAATGGAATGTTACAGCCAGATTAGGCCTTGATATATCTGGTACAACCTCCTGAATTCTTCTGAACAGAAAGTGAAAGAGTGAGTGGCATGCCATACTTGTACATCTTAAATAGATTTTGAATGTCCTTTTTATAACCTAGACTATCTGTTATTTGGAACATCATTAATTAAGTTTGTCTAACTGAAGGAACAACTTAAACCCACCTCCCATTTGTAAAACAAGGTTTCTTAATTCGTTTAAAACTTCAGCATAATCTTCTTTCAAGTTCTTCCTTTCATTTAAAGGTAAATGTAGTTTTAAAGTAATTGCATTCTCAAAATTAAAAAAAAAAATGGTTGGGCCCTTTGTTTCAGATGAACTGTAAAGATAAATACACCTTTCTTACCGGTTAGTTTAAAAGCAGTCAGACTTTGGCTTCGGAATTTTTTTACAAATCTGTGTTGAATATTACAGTATGTATATTACTATACCAGTGATACGCTGGTCTGTTCTTTATTGAAGCGAAACAACTTTCTTTTGTATCGTTCAAAAAGTGGTGAGCATCCCTTGCAGCTGGAGGTTCCTAGTTTCTAAAAGTAGTAGAGGTTTATGCTCATCTAACTGACTCTTCATGCAAATAAGGGAAAGTTCCCCTTAGGCTGCTTCTCATTGTCAGTATGAAAATAACCGACATTTTCAATACAGCTCCCTAATCTAACACCATTTCTGTTCAATGGTGCATTAGAACTGGATGCAAACATCAGAAGCTAAGGTGGTGTTCCCCCAATAGGCCACCAATACCTATTGTATAAATACACCACAACCATGGCTTTCTAAAGCCAGCAGCAGGTTGTAAATACTTTTAATATGCATATTTAGAGTTTGCTTTCTGTTTTGTATAGTGGATCACATGGCAATTAAGCCTCTCTTATTGATTGTCCTGCCAGCACTTTATTTAAAAAAAGCTCCTTGTTAACAATTTCTTAAGTGTGCATACATACAGTAAGCAATCCAAGTTGTATGTTTGTATCCGTCAGTTGTACGTGGATTCTTTCTGATACAATAGGCTAATTGTGCATGGAAGTTGCTATGAAAAACCAAATGGGATGCTGTGTGATGCTGTCCTGTGCCTTACAGCTTGCAAAAGTGTTACTTCAGTATTTTCATGGTCAAGATCATTTGTGCTTCCTGTTTCTAATTAGGCCATGGTGCGCCACCTTTTGTACACATTTAACTTTATAGCTTCTGAACATGATTGCATGAGTCCCTTTTGGAACAAATATCTTAATTGTTTTTTTGAGCTCTCATGCTGTCTCTCTATACAGATGTTCAGTATATAGAGGCTAATCTGTTTCTGGATTAGATACCTTGTGGCATTGTGATAGGAGCAGTGGTATCCGATTGAAAGTTCTCAGAATCTGGTGCTTCCTGTCAGGTCCGTCGCGGTAAGTGTCCTGTTGCGTGCCTGAGAAATGGCTGGGAACCTTTGTCGACACCGCCCACGTGTCCAGTCTCTCTGCGATACTGCTCTGCACAGCGTCCTCCACTCAGGCTTGGCCAGAAGGATTGAGGGCTCAGCATCAGGGTAGAGAGATGTGCAAGTGTGTTGGGGATAAATCGGCAGATCCCTGTTATGTATTAATAGCCTGCTTAAGCTATTTAAATGAAAGAGTTTCCAGAGGGCTTTGGCTTGACGTTTAAATGCTTGCTTCCTCTCGGGGATTTTGGCTGGGTGCCACAGTCCCACAATTGCAGTCAGATTAGGTGCAGTAGAATTGAGAAGTGGTGTTTGGTTTTCTTTTATTATACAGGAAGTTGTTGAAAAATGACTTTGTAAAGTCATATTATTTCCTTTGCTTTATACAAGGGTGACACTGTGTTGGACACTGTATTCACAGGCAATTTATCCCAGTTTGATACCAGAATAAAATGCCAGAAGAACAAATAAAATGATGACCAGTCACGGTTTAAGACCAATAATTTTGTGCAGATATTATTTCGGCATGTGGAACAGGCATGCATCCAACATTCTTTCTGTGGAAACAGATATTCTTACAAATAAGACATTCTCTACTAACAAATAGGTAAATGGTTTATAACTAATAGTTGGGTAAAATTCCCTTCTTTTAAAAAGTAGGTATCAACAGCAACACTTGTATTGAGGAGATTCCTGGATTGATTTCTGCTCTGTTTAAGCAAAAATATTAACAGGTTTTCTACTGAATCAAATATACTATATAGGTTATTACATAGCTGCCATTATATTAATTCTAAATTAGATGTGGTTATTCATCTGATTCCATCTTTTAAGCCCACAATTAATAATACATTTAAACATTTTGTCACAGTTGGCCAATGTTTTGGTTGCAGTTTAAAGGAAATATTGGTTGACATTCTATTTTGCGGCCTCTTGGGGAAGAATAATTATATATAATTTTCTGGATCTGGGAAAACCTTTTGTCCTCTTTTAAATATTTTCTGTAGTGATTGTCACAACAGTACCTGTGTGTTGTGTTCTCACTAGCAGAGTGCTGATGCTATATGAGATTATCTAGTTATTTCAGACAGCTTTTGCTTATTTTTGAAAGGGGTTAAGAAAATTTGAGGTTTTTTTTTTTAACGACACGGTATTCCAAATATACATTTGAACAGTTCAAGCATAAAGGTTGTCACCTCAAAATGTTTATACCATTACAGATCATATCATGTTGTTTGATGAATGTTATCACAGTGAACTTCCTCTCTTTGCTGTTCCTTCAGACTGCCTCTTCAAACTATGTCCTATGAACAGATATTCTGCACAGAAGCAGTTTTGGAAAGCTGCAAAACCTGGAGGAAACAGCACAACAGATGCAGTGCTTTTGAATAAATTACATGTGAGTTTTTTTCCTTCATTGCATTGAGAATGTAATGCTTTTCATCGCATAGTATGCCAGAGACCTTGAGTTACATTTCCACTGGCAGAGGGCTTAAGCCAGTGACTTCATCTACAGTAAATAAGGAGAGTCTTTCACAATGTTCACAATTTTCATTGTGAATAAGACTATTCAGGGCACAGCTGAAATGCTGTAAGCCTGGCCAGCAATCCCATCACAGGAGGAATGCAGGATATGATTGGTCCCAGGATTATTATAATTCCAGTATTATGCATTTTGTTCTGTCTCTTCCCGGCATGCAGATTCAGAACACATTTCAAGCTGAATTAGAAACCAACAACTAAGCTGTATTTTGAACAAATTTTAAATTAAATACACAATTTACACACCTAAAAACGTAGTTCTGAGTTTCTTTGGAGCAAAAGAAGCATTTCACAATGTTCATATAAAATTTGATTTTGTGGACCTTTATAATTTATGATTATGGGCTGTTACTGACATTCCCGTTCAAGCTCGAACTATGATCGGCACAGCCTACAGGTGGTTAAGGGACAGTGTTCAAATATTTAAACACTTTGTACCTTTTTTTTACAGCGCATTTAAAAAACCCTAAAGCTTCACAGTTTACAATAAGTAAACGATTAGCACTTAAGACATCTTAGAACTCAATGAAGCTTTTCCCTGTTTAGATTTTCTTCAGCTGTCTAAAACATTATAGCTTAAATAAAAATAAATATTAGGTGCTCTCTTACCACTGTGTTAAAAGCCTTCTTGTAAAACATTTGAGTCCAATAGTAAGATCTTTTTTGGACACACTTTCAGGTGTGCCTTTTTTTGAAAAAAGCAAATGAGAATGACTTAGGGTCTCTGCTGTACCTTGTGACATCCCACTGGCAACAGGTTTAAATCTAGTCACATTAGCTCCTTTGTGACACAGAAGAGTTAGCCAAGAACACGCAGTGCCCCTGGCACAGACCAGGCAGAGTCGGATCAAGATGTACCAGCAAGAGCTGTGCTTTCCTCAGCAGCATTGATGAGGCTGTTGCCATTCCAGCTGTCTGCTTCTTCTGTTCCCTGCCATTCTTCTAGAGTTTCATTCAAGCTTGCTTGGTAAAGGATAATAAAAGAGAGGAAAACAGTTAGGTAACAGGAACCAGTGAGCACAGATTCATGACACTTGTCTCAATGTCCATTGACCAAAAAATCCATAACCAGCACACTGATACAGTATTTTTCAGAACGCATTTAAAAAATAACAACATACGATGATTTGCCCAAGTATGGTAAATCTGCAAGTTGTTCTTTTGAGGTGAAAATCCTTTTGAACACACTAGTGGAATATGTATTTTAATACTTCGCTGTTTTCTTCCTGCTGTAGCACGCTGCTGATTTAGAAAAAAAGCAAAATGAGTCTGAAAACAGAAAGCTGCTGGGAACAGTTATACAGTACGGAAATGTCATTCAGGTAAGAACAATATTAGCCTTCCTGACTTATTTTTACTACACATGTGTGTATTCTGTAGTCAACTGGCAATTTGGAAGTTAACCTTTAACCTTTTTATAAAGATTAAGCCTTTAGCCTGTTAATTATTTTGTAACGCTGAAGAGGTAACAAAGCAAATAAAGGTGGCAGTGTGGAGTAGTAGTTAAGACTCCTGACCAGAGAGAAATGAGTTTAAATCCTAGATAAACGAGCCCTTGAGCCAAGGTATTTCAGTCAGATTGCTCCAGTACAGCCCTTTCCTCTGTGCAGCTGTATAAATGGTTCTCCTAACTCATTGTCAATAAGAATTGGTTCTCAACTGACACATCTGGTTAAATATCGGAATAAAAAACCCAATATATTGAAACATCAAGAAATGAAGCCTACGAACTTTCATTAATACCATCTAATATGTTGTGGTTTGTTTCTGTATCCATGTGCACCTTGGTAAATCTTTTTTTTTATATTATGAGAAAAAAACAGGGAAGTGTAAATCGCCTCTTTTTTATATAAGTACACCATTACCTTTTGTTGGAAAAGGGGTGTCCATACATAGATACCAGTGCATGTTAAAATCATCATTTATTGTATGTCTGTTTTTTCCTTAATACAGCTCTATTCTGTTCAGCAGTCCTTAAAGTGATGGACATTTTGTCCTTACTGAGCCCCACCATAGCTACAACAGAGAGAAAAGTATCGATCTTCCTGATCACTGACTTGTCAAAGCATGTGCGTCGCAAGAGCAGCTAGTGCTTGTACTCAAAGGATTTCCCCTGGCCTTGGGACCTATCACCAGAACTTAGATAGGGGAAGTAGATGGCCTGAAATAGCTCATCTGAAACTGTGTTAACACAGTCACTTCACCATTTTCAGTGAAGTCGTCCTTGTGTTTGTGTTCTGTAGCATTGCTATTACACTTTCTTATCTTTCCTCTGTCCCTGTTATGAAGTTGAAAAAAAAAATACAGCTGACACTAAAAATGCAAATAGAGGCACAAAATGTACTTTTGTTTCTTGTTTGTGCATTTATATTGTGCTCATATTTTCTAATAAAGCAAATATTCAAGTTAATAGACACAAAACGCCAGTGGTCAGGTTTTTCTACACAACGGATAAAAGAAGTGCATTTTACTTTGAAAAAGATGCTATGTGGAATATGCAGCAAGGTTTTTTTTATATACATAATTGTTGTATGCATCATGTTTGAATCAGCGGAGTCATCTGGTACAATGATTTTGAATACATGTATTGTTTTGTAGTGACAGGAGCTTTGAAATGCTTTTCCAGATGCATTTGGTTAGCCTGAATATTCAGAAAGTTGAAAGTGCCTTATATGACTTAATAACTGCTTTCTTTTTTGAACATGTATGGCATCTATAGTCCAAAACGGAGATGAATATCAGGATGAAGGCCTCGACTTTATGTCCTTCACATTAAATGTAGTTACTGTGAATATGGAGCTTAGAGTTCTGTTCTGTTTCTTATGCCTTGAATTAGAAATCTCCAAATGTGTGTCCACTCTGCTTTATAGCCACATCCTCTGTAATGCATGGGAAGATGGAGGACCTGTGGCCTCAAACCTCTAACATTCCCTCCTGTCGGAGTTGACTTTTCTTGGCTTTCCCGGATTTCCACAGTGCCTTACTGGCAGAGCAGCTTGTCTCGCTGATGACATTGCAAACTCACTGGCACCCTAGACTCTGAAAACTCAGGGAGCCCTAGCCGGCTGAAATACTCCCTGTCCCAGTGGCACTCGGTCACCTTGACGCTGCTTGTAAAGTCCGGATCCATAGACGACCCTTAAGTTATATTTATTTTTGATAAGTCTAAACCTTTTCAGACTGAAGTTGCACAATAAGCCCTTGTGTTTAGCCCTATATGTTGTGTTAGCTGTAGCTTTTATAGGTTTTAAAGGTCATGTTCCGCATCCTTGTGTTTCAGCTGTTACACCTGAAAAGCAATAAGTACCTGACCGTGAACAAGCGTCTGCCTGCCCTGCTGGAGAAGAATGCCATGAGAGTGACGCTAGACGCTGCGGGGAATGAGGGTTCCTGGTTCTACATCCAGCCCTTCTACAAACTGCGCTCAATTGGGGACAGCGTAAGTTACGTTAATGCTGGGGTTCTAAACATACATTGGAAATGGCTGAAAAGATCTTTTGAGGGACAGATTTATAGCCATTTCCTCACCACGGAACCCCTCAGGTAATTTGAATAAACTGGATTTCAATATCTTCATTCCTGTTCTGGGGCAGCATGGTGGCGCAGTGGTTAGCGTTGTTGCCTCGCAGTGCAGGGTTTAATTTCCCACCTTTGGTGCCGTCTGCATGGAGTTTGTATGTTCTCCCAGTGTTCGCTTAGGTTCCCTCCAAGCGCTCTGGTTTCCTCCCATAGTGCAACGACTTGTACGTTAACTGGCTTCTGGGAAAATTGGCCATAGGTATGTTTGTATGTGTCCGTGTCCATCCAGTGATGGCCTGGTGCCCGTTTCTTGCCAGGACAGGCTCCAGCTCCAGAAAATGGAAAATGGAGTTCTGCTCACACCATATTCAAGAATACATTTATTGGATACATTTTTGATTCACATGATTTATGTGACGTTCCATAATTCAGCACATGAATTGAAGGTTTGCTGATGGATCAGATTGACCTTAATGAAGGGTCTTGGTTTGTCCCACTGACATGTTAAACGGGGACAAACCGAGGTGGCCAATGGGAATCTCGATTCTGGAATACATCAGACCTTCCAAAACCTTGTGGCACATTATTCAACCATCTCTTTTTATACTATAGAACTCTTTTTATACTATACTATAGAAGCGTTGGTGTGTCATCTTGAATTTGTCCAATTGGACTGATTTTTCTTTGTATGTTGTGTTCCGTAATGAGAATGGAGTCTACAGGAGTAATTCATTCTGGCATCCTCTGTTTGACTGGAATATTTTATTTATCTTTTTTCCGTTTTGGAACTCTGACCCCTGGTGTTGATTCTTTTAGATGCATTTAAAAAAAACTCCAGTCATTTTCCTGAATGCTTAACATCTATTCAGACATTAATTTTGTTACGCCTCATAAATACCAGTGGGTAAGGGATTTGACTGCTGTAGTAAACAATAACGCTAAAGAAAACAAACGTCTTTTTCCTTGGAAGTATAATGTCTTTGGAGCTGGTTTGTTTCAGAACTTGGGAGTATTCATTCAGCCAAGTTCATGTTGCTTTTATTTGTAGTACATATTATTGCATGTGGGAGTTTTTTTTTGCTGTAAGCCTCAATTTATTTCTTATAATAAAAAGCACAAGTTTCTAATCTGCCTGTTAGATGACATGGTTGTACAACTTTCCAATGAAATCGTGGCTTTCAAGTAAGTCTCTGCCGGCTGTGGGTGTTCTGTTCTGCAGTGCAGCGGAGAGGGTGAAGATGATTGCTTTTGTCTGTGCAGGTGGTGATAGGAGACAAGGTGGTCTTGAACCCTGTGAATGCTGGACAGCCCCTGCACGCCAGCAGTCACCAACTGGTAGACAACCCAGGGTGCAATGAGGTGGGTAGAGGTGTCCTATTTATATGTTTTATTAATAATAATATAAATGCAAGCAATTATAGCGCTTTTCTGGACATTCCGCTCAAAGCGCATTACAGGTAATGGGGACTCCCCTCCACCACCACCAATGTGCAGTGTCCACCTGGATGATGCAACGGCAGCCATAGTGCGCCAGAACGCTCAACACACACCAGCTATCAGTGGGGAAGAGAACAGAGTGATGAAGCCAATTCATAGATGGGGATTATTAGGAGGCCATGATTGGTAAAGGCGAATGGGTAGTTTGGCCAAAACACAGGAATAACACCCCTACTCTTTTTGAGAAAGGCCATGAGATTTTTAGTGACTACTGAAAGTCAGGACCTCAGTTGTACGTCTCATCTGAAGGGCAACGCCTTTTTACAATGTAGTGTCTCCGTCGCCATACTGAGGTATTGGGACCCACACAGACCACAGGGTGAACACCACCTACTGGCCCCAATAACACCACGTCCGGCAGCAACATTAATTCTTTTCCCAGGAGGTCTCACATCCAGGTACTGACCAGGCTCACATCTGCTTAGCTTCAGTGGGCTGCCTGTTGTTAATTTCTTATCCCAGTCAAGGATGCACCTGAACCAGCAAGCTCCTGCATTCCTTTGCAAGTTGAAGATAAATTTGTTACATGCAACATTTAGCTGTGTAGAGGAAATTTGCAAGAGCCCCACCCCCACCCCCCCTTCTGAACTTTTTATGAATAAGCAGACAAGGTATGAATGAAAAAAGAAAAGAATGAATGGTAATGTAAAATAAATGTTGTAAAAGTGTAGTGGTTTATCCTAGATCAACAGGTATGTCTATAGTTTTCCCAAGTTTCCCACTTTGTACTAGAAAAATGGCCTTTTTTAGGTTTGCCTTGGAGTGTGGACTTCATTTTCACTAGGAAACAAAACTAAACTTTTGAAACATATTGCATCATGTTTATGAAGGGCTTTAGAAAGCTTTTGTTTCATCTAGGTATTCATTGTTCTGGTATTTTGTTAAAAAATGAAACCTCTGAAGCCTTGTTTATACTACCCAAGGCATGAAATGAAGAGGATTTATTTATTATTACGCAAACATCACTGTTGGACGGAAAAGTACTCTGTAGCATAACCATTGGCATCAGGTGAGCCACAAAATCAGTGAATCAGTGAACATAGATTGCTTTAATTTTATTTTACTAGCTTTCCACAATATTGATTAAATTACTTGAAACATTAATAGATTTTTATAAAAACACGCGCAAAATGCTATTGTCTTGTTTAACATGAACTATGGAGGACTATTAAAGATAACAAATGCCTACAAGCCAGGTGAAAAATTAACTTCATAACATTGTTAAAAATGAAAAAATCCATAGGGGCATGTTGTACCATAAGCACCAGATTTCTAAGCTTTCGATTTTAAAAACACAACTGTGTTGTTAAGTGATAGACCGATATTAATGAGTGGTTTTTTTTTTCATTTTGAAGTTCAGCTCCACTTTGGTGAACATTCTTTAATTTGCTATATCACTTTTATCCTTTCTCTTTACTTTTTCAGGTGAACTCTGTGAACTGTAATACTAGCTGGAAGATAGTTCTGTTCATGAAGTGGAGTGACAACAAAGAGGTTATTTTAAAAGGGGTGAGAGGTTTTTGTGTTTTGAACTTGGTGGCTGGTTTCAGTTCTAATTTTAATAAACCCCTGACCACACTACAGTAGCTCTTATGAGCCTACAGTAGACTACTTCAAAGTCTTTCACGCACTTACCCTGGGTTTTCTTTACACTTCATCTTATATCAGATGAACCTGGAATGAATCCATATCAGAAACCACATGCCTGTGCAGGATTTCATTATATACAGTATATAAATATTTAGACACAAATATATATATATATGGCTGGTACATTTTTGCCTCTTTTACACTTGGACAGATCATGACCAGCTTCTTTTTGCCACCAGGTAGCTGATTCTTTGCGTGATTACTGAAACTTGTTGCTAATTTCTAGTGCCCTTTTGGGCTTTGCACCTGAATATTTTCTTTTAGTTATATCCTGAATTGTGTGCTTTTTAAGCCTTGTTCCTGTAAAGTTTCAAGTAATCTGTGGTAATCAGTTCACTTTTCCCCACTTGTCTCAGGGAGATGTAGTGCGGCTGTTCCACGCAGAGCAGGAAAAGTTTCTGACCTGCGACGAACATCGTAAGAAGCAGTACGTGTTCCTCAGGACCACAGGACGCCAATCAGCTACCTCAGCAACCAGCTCGAAAGCCCTATGGGAGGTGGAGGTGAGCAACTGCTGAAGAGCTGGCTTTTTCGTATCGTAAAATAAAACTTAAAAACATGCGTAGGGATCTCAACGCATAAAAAAAACGGATCAACACTGAATTGTGCAAAGCACCGCACTAATTCTTTGGGGGATATTCTGGTACATTTCAATGGGAGGATGTTGTTGGCATTATTGTTAGCTTGCTCTTTTCACTTGGAAACGAAGGTGTGGTTTGGAGGGGAGCATCTCTTTCTGACAGGCTTTTCGTTTTTTTTTTGTAGCAGCTATGAGTTTTCTAATTTATTTTCAATTATTTTCTTTTAAAAGGTTGTCCAGCATGACCCTTGTAGAGGTGGTGCTGGTTACTGGAACAGTCTGTTCAGATTTAAGCACCTAGCCACTGGCCACTACCTGGCAGCAGAGGTAAGAGATACAACTCAATTTTCTGTGCGACAGGCCACTTATAGTTCACTCTAGTTGGTGCTGCCTGTTGCATCATGTAATGGAGGTACGACACAGTGCCTGATCCTGTCACATTGCCCTTTAGTTCATAACGCTGGATTCCCTGAAAATGTTTCTGTATTCCGAGTAGATCTCATTTATTGTTCTGTTTGCAGTCAACTTTGTTTTCTGCGTTAGTTCATGTTTTCTAGGTGATTATTCTATAAAAAAACAAGGAAGCAGTCTCTCAAACTCCAGTTCCAAGCCAATTTTTTTTATTCCTGTCACAGTTTAGCTGTTGTCTTAGTCTGTCTTCTACAAGTGGACAGATCCATGCGATATCGTTTATATTGTTTTTTACCTTAAGGTATTATTTTCACAGGTAAACCCAGATTACGAAGAAGAATGCCAAGAATCCCGATCCTCTGTGAGTAGCGGTCAACAATTTAAAGTAAAATTGCATCTGTTGAGCCCTGATGTTATGCTACCTGTCTGTTGGTAGTATAAACAGCGGCCTGCAGTGGTACTTTTTTGGGGGGTGGCTGGCCTTGAAGGTCATAGATACAATTTTTAGTGACGGCAATGATAAATCTATGCGTTTTTTTGTAATCCCCTTGTTCAATTAGCAAACACTTGCCATTACCAATTTGCTCTCCATCTGTCATGGTAATAACAGCCTCCAGTATAGCAATTCCTCCTTCCAGTTCCCCTTGTCTGTTGTAGTGTCTCATTAAACTTGTATAGCTCACCCTTTCTAAAAAGTACCAATTGACATGACATTGTTCTGTGTATTAATAGAGTGCACACTGCAAAAAAAAAAATGCATGACGGGTTTTATAGAGTAACATACCAGCAATAGTGTATTGAAATACAGTGCATCTGACTGGAAATGCAGTACATGGTACTTTCAGATTGTGGTTATAGCAGTGAACACTATAAAGTGTTTAGTTTTCTTTTTAGAAAACACGCTCTCACAAATCAAATCCTTTAGTGACCCCGTAAGTTAGCTATGACAGGAAAATGTAAAATAAGCAACAAGTTGAATTCATTTTTGAAGCTTCAACAGGAAATATAAAACAAGATATCACATTGAGTGTCTTCAAAATATGGGTTGACATCTTAAAAACTAACGATTTTAATCATAAGAGAATCATACCAATGTCAGTTTTTTATGAAGTACTTTTACTTTGAACTCTCCCCTGCAATTTATGAATGTGAGTGGAAGGTTTAGTACAGTTTTTAAATAGACCAGCTTGGTTGTGAGCAGGGTAGTGTGACCTACAGAACAGACCTCAGGAATTTTATGCTCTGTGGCATGGCTTAAGTCTCCATTGCAATCTGTCGCTTGGAATATTATGTTTTTACACCACTAGGTGTCACCCAGTGTGATGGAAAATAGTAATTTATATCATAGCACCAGCACTGTAATATGAGTTTTTGCCTACAGATGGCACACGATCCATATTTATGTTTATGTGTTTTAACCTGGTGTACCTTCCAAACAGCTCCCTCAGCTGTAGGGCTTTCCATTTAACACACCATCTTAACCTTAGGCTTGGCTTTTCTGAAGAGAAGAACAAATTAAGAGGAGAAAAATTAGAGTCCTGATTGGCCCAGTTTTGCCACACTAATGGAGCATCTTATGCTGAGCTTTGAATCTATTCAGGCTCCACTGTGCTTAAGACAGATGAGAGACCCTTTTGTTTTCCAATTTTACCAAATTACCTCCTAAAACATATTTTTAAAGTAATCCTAAAATCTGAATCACAACACTTAATTTTTATAGATCATTTTTTTTTACAACCTTTACATCTCGACATTATTCACATAGATTAGGTGATAGTATCCACTCCCACTATATTTTATGCTTGGGTTAAATGTTCAATAGTTTCATTGAAGATGGGGGTTTATTGACAGAGGAAGATTTGTCATAATTTTGACACATTTACTCACAAATAAATTATCATTTTTTTTTAGCACAAAACTTGGTATGATCACAAATTTGTGACTGGTTGCTTTAAGAGGCTCACTCCTCTCTGAACACCATAAACAAAGCCTATAAACGTTCCTAACATGATGTAAGGAAAAATGTAACATTTCTGTCATTGTGAGCTACACAGTGACAGTTTAGCATCAAAACCTGAAGTCCAGATTGTGCTGCTGACTTTTTCCTGTATCCTGCCTTTTCATTTTCAGGACTTTGCACAATTGTCTTTTGTTTTAATTTGTCCTTTAATTAAATAAGAGGAGCATAACTAAATAAGTCAGTGATGAAAACGCATGATAAATTAGTGGGGCTTTACTTGCGCATTTTCAATTTAGTGAGTGAAAAGATGTCTTTCAGTCCCTTAGCTCTGTCAAATTAAATATTTGCAGACATTTCATGTTCTACCAGACATCATCAAATGGTTGTTCTTGAAGTTCAAATTTAGCATTCCTGTAGCATTTGTACAAGCATCTTTTGTCACAGAAAATAAAAATAGATGGGTTCTTTTGATATGCTTTTTTTAACGTCCCTGCATATTGTTAATGTTTTCGAAAATCGCCATAGTTGTCCTTTTAATGGGGGTCCACATGAAGGAAACAAATGGACAAGTCTATAAACAAGATCAGTCAGTTTTTTTATTTAACCAGATACTCCAAATTCCCCTGTACAGTGCCACCTGGATAAGAAGTTCATGCCACTACAAGAGCATACATACACAGCAAAATCTTTAAACCCAAATGTGAAAATGTCTTTTTAAAGAAGTTACAAGAAATTCAGTGAATGAATCATTTTTTTTTCCGTCGCATATAGGGAGAGCAGTAGGCTGATCTGTGTCCTTGGAATCAAGGCTAGCTAGCTTGTCCCACAGGTCTTCACCTGAAGGATTGTGGGAATGTGGAGCAGGCTACCCAGCCAAGTTGTTTAAGCTGATACCCTGGCTTCTTTCAAGAAATGACTCGATGAGATCCTTGGATCAGATATCTGTCTTTCCTGTCATACAGACTGTATGGTCCAAATGGCCTCCTCTCACTTGTAATCATTCTTGTCTCCTTAGGTGGATTCCGAGCAGGAGGCCCTGAGAGCGCGACTGCGTACTGCCCAGGAGAAGGTGATGTACACTTTGGTGTCTGTGCCTGACGGAAATGACATCTCCTCCATCTTTGAGCTGGACCCTACCACACTGAGAGGGGGTGACTCGCTGGTGCCCAGGTAATTAGTCAAGTTATAAGGCTTTGTTTGGTTTGAAGAAACTATTCGCTTTCTGTGCAATTCAAGGAACAACGCATGCTAATAGTCCGAAAAATGTTTTGAAAAAAAAATGCATTTATTAAAGAAATGAAGTTTTGACTGGGAAGAAGTTAACGGTTTATTCCAGAGAAAAAAAGGAAATGTGTTTCGGCTGTGGAGACTTCTCCCGAAGAAGGCTCCACATTCTTCTTCTCCCAAAGAAGGTTCCACAGCCGAAACATTGCGTTTCCTTTCTTCTCTTGCATGGAATAAACCTTTTACTTGTTCCTACATATGCTGACACAGCTACCTACCTAAATGCATCACAGCTCATATGAAATTGGTTAGCTTTAGCACAACGTGTTGTCAGGGGTATGTCTTCTGTTGATCCAATATGGATCCACATAATGTCACCCTTAATATTATACCACATATTCTGTGTGTTCTTCGTACATGTTTTTTTTAAACAGAGAACATACTACAGTTACATCTCATGTTTCTTTTTCATTGTCAACAGTTTTTTAATGCTTTTTGGAATGTGCTCTGTCCATGAAAAACTGTTTGCCAATTTAGTAGTGTGCTGATGTTACATGGTGTTGAAAACATATTGCAACCAAACCCCCCTGTTGATTCAACTGAGCTGAGTATTTGAATAGATTTCACTCTCAGGGGGTCTCTGCTTGGAGTTATTTTCCTGCTCCAGCCTACAAGATTTACTGATTAAATTTTCTTGCATGACTTTCCTGCAGAACATGTGTATGTTACAACCAGCTAAAGATTTTTATATAGTTCAAGATCAATGTTTTTTGGTTCTTAAAAATGTATTATTGAATTCTGCTAGAGTATTCTATCTGTGTGTTTGATCTGGATTTGGGTTTTGCTAAATATTTATTGTACATCCCTTTTAAACAAAAAAAAAAATGAGGACCGAATGTAAAATATTTAGGCCTATAGGCACCAAAAAAATAAAACTTACTGGTAATTTTTGCATTTTTTAATGTATCTGAAGGACTCCAAATAAGCATCTCTTTTATTAGTTATGTTATCAGTACATTACGTCATTTCTGAAAGAGTTTTACCTCGGCATTTTCATAATGTTCAGCTCCAGAACCTACTGTAAACAAGAGGACCATGTTAAGAGCTGCGGCCCCACATATAAAAAAATGACTTGGGGATGAAGTGATTCCTGATCCTGTAGTTTGGAAGCGTGGCTCATAGCGATAGAAAGCCGGATGGATTCTGCTGCAGAAAAGACCCATTTACTGTTTAAAGTAGGACACCATGACAACCAGACAGCCTGTAGTTAAGGCACAATAGATTAGTTGATCCTGAAGATGTTGTAATGTGCCTTGTAAATCTTATCATATCATTCTTCTAAAAACAGAAGGCAGATGTTGTGCAATATATCACCCACATGAACAGACAAAATTACCTTAGCTTCATGTTTATTTCCTATAACTTTTTTTTTTGCTGTTGCTGGCTCAAGATATCTTATTTTCCTCCTTTTTCTGAACTAGCCATTTGCAGGACATGGCTATTTTAATTCACAGACAAAACTGAATCCGACAGAGTAATGTGCTGTGTGGCATAAAGAAACCCTTCATTATGTGATCACCCTGATGGAAGGATTAAGAGCTTAATTAAATGCATAGTGAAGGTGAAAAGTCGAGTGAAAAACATAGCAGTTGATCTTTAATCCACACCTCATTTTCCTTATTTGGACAAACTAATTAGCTGTGAACCCTATTTCAGAGACTGATGTCAGTGTTGAGAAATGCCAGAGGTTAGGCATGTATAATCGGGTAATGTATAATCTGACATACAACATGCTTATTTAAATCCTGGTCCTGTTAGAGTTTATTAGTGAGATCATGAAAATCTTCCTTCTCTCGCGATTTCTTTCTTGGTCACATGACCACCATCTGCTTTTAGACAGCTCTGGGAATTTTGTCCTTGATAAGAGGTGGGCAGGATGTCTTGGTATTTTTTCCAGTCATTATAATTGCAAGTAGACCATAATGACAGCCCACAGTCAATGGGCTGACTCATGGCAATCTTTGTTCTTGTTACTTTATTAATATTAACATTTGTTCATCTCCACGATAAGAGATGCCGACACTGCCTTCAGTGATTTTCAGTTCCACACCAAGCCATTATGTGATCTATATATTTTAATATTTATATGTCTATGTCTACTCTTCCAATTTAGCAAAGCTTCTGTATTTGCAACATAGCACTAAAACTATGCTGTTTTCAACTAGTTATGATATGCTACCATGTGTTCAATATGTGTACAGAGCTAAAGAATGAGGTGTTGCAAAAACCATTCTGTGCTGCAGTATCCCCTAAACAGATGGATGCCATTGATTCATGATCTCAGGTCTCAAAGTGGTAGCACAGACTAACAAGTAGACATAACCTCAGAATTTAACATTAAAGCTAATGGGAGCCATTCCTTCCCCAGATTTGTATGAAATTTTGGTAATAATCAATTATTCTTTATGGGGGACAATGAACAATTTGACCTTCACATGTTATGCATATAAAGAGGATAACCAGCTGTTATGATTTAATTTTGTTTAGCTGTGTCATTTCTCCCCAATACAATGGGCTTTTCCTAAAGAGTGTAGCAGATGGTGGCAAATTAGTGCTTAATTTAACAGAAAAATATAGAAATAACATGCAGTCAATTCTAACATGAATTCTGCCTAGAAATGAGAAATTCTGACATACTACGTGCTGACAGTAGAAACAGGTTTATATGGACTAGTTGCAACTTGGGCTTTACTGCTTGTTTTAATATAGCCAACAAGGAGTATGGGTTGCTACAGATACCCATTGATTGATTGAGAGCCAGTGAGGAGCATTCATGTGCGATTTTAAGTAACTTCCTGTTTCAGCTTGATGTACTGCATCATTTCCAAGACAACTCTCCTGGAAATCCTAAAGGAACTATTGTCAAGTACAGTAGTTGCTTGTTGCTGTTGGCATTCAACGATCTACAGTAACTCTGCATCTAAGAGGAGGGTAAAACTTTGGTAAAACTGCAGATCTGTTTCACAGATTTATGAAACCTGGTTGTAGCAGTTTCTGTTGTTCAAGAGAAGTCATTGTTTTGGCTTACTAAATTAAGTTAATTAGCTTAACTGACCTAATTGCCATCTTACATTTTCTTTAGGTCTTATTTGTATGTACTGCAAAAGCAGACACCTATTAAAGTAAAGGGATAGATTGAGGATTGCAACTATCACAATTGCAAGAACACTATTTTTATATTCTACTATGTCTACTATGTCATATCCACACATTTTCCGTTATATGAGAATCTGGACTACCTTCCAAACCATTTTTGATCAATTTTTATCTTAGCCTGCAATTATGAAATAACATAATTAAATAAACTATTAAGAATGTATTACCTAATTGTGCCAAACACCTGCATCATCTCGGTTGCAGAACTGTTTCACCAAAAGGCTGTGGGTAGGCCAAGCACAGTGTTTACACTGGTCTCTGGCAACATTTGGATAACTGCAGGGTTTAATGTCATTGTTTAATTAAACTAGCAGTCTACCTTGAACTGCTGCAGGTGTCTTAGTGATTTGTTGTTTTCTTTTCCATTTTTTAATTTCAAAGTTGTTTTAAGTAGAACACGGGAGATGTGCAATACAGTACATAAAGTTGGAAAGTTGTCTTCTGTTTATTTTACATGTAAGTTTTGAATGGTGGGCTTCTAGCACAATATCTGCAATTCATGTTTTGAAAAGCTTTATTTTCATTCATTTTTATCGGAGCACGGATATCCAATATTAGTGTCCCTTTTCTATAACTGAATCCTAATTTTGGTTCATCATGCACATCAGACTGTACTGAACTTTTAATTTCCAATAAAATAAGGAACTTAAAATTGTAAAAAAAATATTAAAATTAATAATGGAATATTCAGTTAAATGATAAACGCCCAATTTTAACATAAAAGGATCTTGACTTTCCAACCTATAAAATTAAGAATGTTTCCCCACATTTTAAACATATCTTTAATTTATACCATTACGCCTTTCATGTTACTGTACATAACTTAAAATGTTAAGGTCTGTGACTTTCTTCACAGCACGTTAAGTCTTCGATGCCTTTGAACCAATAGTTGTGATGAGGCAGTATGCAAAATACAGCATCTTCAAATTAAATTTTTACTTTTAAACATAAAGAACAGCTGTAGAAACACTTCAGTATTCTTTTGAACTCTAGGAAATGGTAAATACTACAGATATGGTTGAAGCTTTATGTTTGAAATGTTCTAGACATTGAGCAACCATGTATTCGAAGGTAACTATTTTATTAATTTCAAGCGACGCTTATAGACGGCTTGGTGTAATCTTCAGAAAGTGAGCCCTTCTCACTTTTGTCGTGAGATGTTTCACATTTGAGATTATTTTTCAGTCTCATAAATCCAGAAAAATTTGATTTTTATTAAGGCATTTGTTTTCCAGGAATAATAGGATGCAGTTCAAAAATGCATCACAGTTAATGTCTACAGTTGTCAGACTGCTGTGACACTTTCTGGAAGATTTCATTCCTTATGGCTTCATAGTTCTGAGTTATTATCAACTGGCTCTGTATTGTTTTACAAGGTTTTGTGCTCAATAGAGACAAAGTTTGCTTTTGGGGTAACGGGATCTTATTACACTTTGGATTCACTTCAACTGATGCTTTCATATTTGTAATTGATGGCTCTCCAGCTTCTCACATGATTTGGCTTGATGCTCACTGAATGTCTTAGTTGTCCATGTGTGAAATTAATTTCAGATTTGCCTCAAAAAAATATTTCACTCATTGTGTTAAGGAACACATGGCCTTTGTTACTTTGCCTTTTGGATCTGACTGCTACGCAAGAAGTAAATTGAATTTTTTTTATAATTTAAGATGATTAATTTAAGTACAGTATTTTATTTTGGGTAAACCGAATAATCTGCGAGACATTAGACCCTGCCTTAACTATTCGGCTGGTTTTAGTAAAAGACTAATTCAGAAAGGAAATGCTTCCTCTCTTACAAACTGTCACTGAAAGACTCCTTTCTCCAATTCCTTTGCAATATGTGGAATTTTATACAACACAAGACTTGCTCTGGTGTTCTAGCTGTGAAAGGGCTAAGATTGCTCTGTGGAAGTTTAGAATTTTGTCTTGTCCCGAAAGTCTGTTTTCAACTTGATTTGGATCATTACTTTTGCTAAACACTGAGTTAAGGATAGATTATGTATAAATTGGATGCCTTTTGTATCTATGGTATGGAATGAAGTTTAAAAGTAAAATGTATATTTTACTTTTAAAAGATAGCTATGGTTTATTTGAAGTTGAGGTAAAAGGGGAATATTTTCACAACATGTGTTGTTTCATTTTAAGGCTCCAGACATGTACATTCCTAGTGTTTTTCTAATGAATTAAAATTGTGCAGAGATGACTGTTTAATCAATAAATGAATAGCGAGCTTTTCCTGTTTTCTTAGTCCAGCTATTGTAAGTCATACTTAGTCAACTGTTTCAGGTAAAGATAACATTTTCTGCAGGCTTTTGTGGGCCAGCTGCAAGAAATGATTTTCTCTAACATTAAATTAATCTTTTCTAAGGAACTCCTACGTAAGGCTGAGACATCTCTGCACTAACACATGGGTTCACAGTACCAACAACCCCATAGACAAGGATGAAGAGAAGCCCGTTATGCTTAGAGTAAGTGGGCTGGTTTCCTCACCAACATCACTTTTTGTGGCTCTCAATTTAATTATCTGAGGCCTACTTACTCGTGTCTACTTGATGCAATTTAATAAAATCACAACCCACATCAAATGTTAGAAATGAACTTCATATGACAGCCAAGCCAAATTTTAATCTTGATAGGCAAGATTTTTAGACTTCACTGGTGTGTTTGAACTTAGCAGTATACAGTATGTTAAAGTCAGTAATTTAGAATTTATTTGAAAACACCGTGTTATTAAGAGATGTAGAATTAAGATTTGCATGTGTTCCCCTTTTGTCTATGCCTAAAAACATGTAATTTTTTTCAATTAAGATTGGCACATCTCCACTGAAAGAAGACAAAGAAGCTTTTGCAATTGTCCCAGTGTCCCCAGCTGAAGTGCGAGATTTGGACTTTGCCAATGATGCCAGTAAAGTGTTGGCTTCTATAGCTGGCAAACTGGAGAAAGGAACAATAACCCAGAATGAAAGGAGGTAAGACTCCCACATAGAGGCATATTGATTCAGCAACCTTGTTGAAAAAAGGCAGTTTATTATGAGAAGAGTTTGTTTCCAGAACCTAAAAGCTGTACAAACAGAGGAATTTCACATTTGTGCATTGGGAACAACAGAGAAGGAGAGCATTGCCTTAGCCAGATTCCCCTCCCAGTGGGATTAATGTCGTTTTCATCAGTTCTTTCTAGCCGTTAGGACTGTTAATGATTTAAAGTGAATCCTCTTACTTATGTCTCAGTGCTGTTATTCAGCGCCTTGCTCCAGATGCATTTTTCTGAGGGTTTCTATGGTTACGTCATGAACAATATTTCCCATAAACACTGTGAGTGCTTCTATCCGGAATCCATGGAGACCTTCTGTGGTTTTTCAGTCACATTCTGATGAGAAAAGTCCTCAGGGATTGCAACATTTAAAAAAAAAAAAACAGCTGTACAAGATATAAAGGTAACCAAATGTAAAGGAATATTTACTTTGTGGCTATTCAAATTTTATCATTGTCCTTTACTATATTGAAGTTCTAATTGTTATTTTTGGGAGCTTCTTGACTTTAATTGTAAGTAAGCACGTTTTCAAAATTGTAAAACCCAACTGAAGCAGAACCCACTAAGTAGAAGCTTTTAAACATCACAAATTTGTTTTTTCTTGCATATTTAAAAAAAAAAATATGTAGCTGTGTATCCAAACACCTGATGACACAGCATGTCAGCTGAAGGAAATGAGCATTTGTCAGAAATCAGACTGTGAACCAAACAAGCCTTTTAATCGGCTGTCTTATTCTAATGTAAAATCAGAGGAGAAAAATATTGCTTCGTGATTTTGTTTTTGGTGTTGTATTTACAAAGTGAAGATGAGTGATTTCTTTTTAGTTCGATTTGCTAGTGAGAATATTGATGCCTCTTCTGTCTGCCAGCCCTTTTCTGTTAATGGGAAGATTTGAACTGGCCAAGATAGTTGTCTCCTTCTCTTTCTTGTTTACACATACAGTTTGCCCGTCAGGCAAAAACACAAACTGGTAATAATGTTTTATCTTGCAATCGAAACCAACATTCATCGCACGTCACATCACTCTAATAGAGTGCAACAAAACTCTGTCTCACTGCTACATATCGTTACAAACAGGTTTGTAACAAAGCTGCTGGAGGACTTGGTCTTCTTTGTTGTGGACATTCCGAATAACGGCCAGGACGTGCTTGAAATAATGGTCAACAAGCCAAACAGGGAACGGCAGAAGCTAATGAGAGAGCAAAACATCCTGAAACAGGTAAGCCTGCCTGTCTCAGTGGGATGTCCTTGTGATTCATGGTGGCTTGGCCATTTTAAAAGGGCTTGCATGCAGCGCACGTCGATCCTTGTAGTCCGGAAGTTGCTGCGATCTGGGTTTTGTCATTAGTCCACTGCAACCAGGTTTCCCCAAGCAGAGCTGTCAGATTTAGAATCTGGCGTCACTGGAGAATTTCTTGACTTGTTTCCCAACTGTGGCTTTAAGGGTTGTAGTGGTGAGCCAAGTAATTAATGGCAGTTGCAAGACTGGGGAATAAAATAAGTGCTGTTGCTGTGCTGCCCACGCCTTACTGGCGACTGGTAACTGGCTTATCAGCAGGTGTTTCTTGTATGTGTGGTGTGTAGATCTTCAAGCTGCTACAGGCACCCTTCACCGACAGTGGGGACGGACCCATGTTGCGACTGGAGGAGCTGGCGGACCAGCGGCACGCCCCCTTCAGGCACATCTGCAGACTGTGCTACAGGGTCTTGAGGCACTCTCAGCAGGACTACAGGAAAAACCAGGTGCGCCTCAGGGCTTGCTCACATAGCCCCAGTGATTTCAGCACTGCTCGGTTAAACAAGCTAATATGCGCTTGGATGAACGATTTTCCACACAGCATGTATGGTTAATAAACCAAGAAATATACAGTAAAAGGTCTTTCATTCAGAAATGACTCTGATCCCGTATTTATTCACTTAAGATGTTTCAGGGATAAATTAGTTGTGTAAATAATTATCCAATGAATTCTAATGCAGCAGATTTTCTTTTGACATCTCTGTAATGGGCCTTGTATTTGCATATTGTGACTTGGGTCATTTAAACTTAAGCTGTTTCAGCAGTAGGAGAAATAAAATTGTGCCTTATAGGCGTAGTTTGTGTTAGTAATACTATCCCTTTATCTTCTAAGGAGTACATTGCTAAGCAATTTCGCTTCATGCAGAAGCAAATTGGATATGATGTACTGGCTGAAGACACAATTACTGCCTTGTTGCACAACAACCGGAAACTTCTAGAAAAACACATCACTGCTGCAGAGATTGACACCTTTGTCAGTTTAGTAAGAAAAAACCGGGAGCCCAGGTGAGCAAAGTATTGTTGTCAAAATGCATGTACTGTAAGAGCTGTATGATTTTAGCACATTTTTTTCTTACGTTGTACATGACACACAGGCATGGCTTTGAATCTTCATCAGTGCTTTAAATGACAAAAAGCACAATTTATGGGCCTATCAAAAAATGTAATACATTCATATGTGCAAGTGTTTTACATGAAGGCATAGAAGGCAGATGATTGCATGCTATTAAATGTGAAAACATTTCAGGATGCAGTCATGATTGGTGGCTTAATAATTAGAAAAATGTACAATATTACATTATGGAGTACCAGCATGTCTTTAATTTTAATTTTAAGGTGAAATTGCCCAATATCACATGGCTCAACAGATGTTCCCCTTTGTGCAGTTAGTATTCACAGCTGCAACACATTTAAGTTTGCTTCACATTACTGGGCTTCAAAACCCAAAACGTCCTTACTGTTTGTGACATCTCAATGTGACCACATATGTCTTTTTTTCAGATTCCTGGATTACTTGTCAGATCTGTGCGTGTCAATGAACAAATCGATTCCGGTCACCCAGGAGCTCATCTGTACTGCAGTCCTGGACTCTGCTAATTCAGACATTCTTATTGAGACAAAGTGAGAAACTGTTACTGTAGGTGGTTGTGTTACAATAATTTGCCACTTGAGTGGATATAATGCATTCTCTTCTGACCCATACCATGAAATTAGTTCAACTCTGATATTTGTTATTGTGTGAGTTTGGCTGCTAAGACTGAGGTAACAGCTAATGTACTGTACCCATTGGTGAAAGCTTGTGAGTAGCAATTAGTGTACCAACCACTTTCTGACTCACTTTTTCAGCACATTTGATAAACTTCGGTCTTTACATATTTTTGCCTTTGCATTAAGTTGTAATTTATCCCCATTTTGCACTATAGTATAGTATAATCTGTGATGTACAGTACAGCGTAATATAAACACCACATATGCTTTTGAGGAGTGACAAACCTTGCTTTTACATTAAGCAGATAAAATTCTTTAACATGCCATTTCAAATGCCATCTACTCTACAGAGTTTTTTTTCACATGCTCATTTCATAAAGAGTATTTAACAAGTATTTAGTGTTCTCCAATTATAATTAGCAAGATCTTTCATCTTATGTTCTTCACAATACTAGTATCTTTGCATGATAGGCTGATAAATAATAAATACATTTTAAGAGCTGATGATACTCTTCACGCAGGTTATAAAGGTTTTTAAAGGAATTTCTTATTACATATACGTTTTAAACCATTCAAATAACTTATCCTCACAGACCTTGACTGGTACATACAGACTTGTCACATAAAGCCAAGATGTTTTACCAGCAGGACACTAAAGAATAATTTTAACTTTTATTTCCACGAGCATTAAAGGATATATTAGTCTTCATTCCACTGTAATTAGTTTTCTTAGTGCAGACATGTCTTGGTGTTACATTTTCAAATTTTCTTTTTTTCCCCCCACTGATCAACTAACAATAAAGATGGCAGTCTAAAGCATAACCTCATAGTAGTGACTGAAACTGATGGGTTATTTACATCTTTTTAATATTTTATTTTCTGTGTTTGGTCTTAATCATGGAACCTGAGCTTGGTTATTAAAATATAAAATGGCACCAAGCAACAGGGATGCATTTTCACACCTTTGTCATTTTAAAGTTTAAATGAAAGTTAGGGAAAATTGTATAATTGTTAACTAATATCTGGCCCATCACATTGCACAACTGGGTATTTTAAAAAAATGTCAGTGGCGGTGCATCCTTTTGCCTGAAGGCTAAATTATGAAATTATTACATTTTTATGAAGTTGTAATTTATCCCTGTTTTGCACTGTAGTATTCATATGGATCCTGGCAATAGTAATTTCAGTATTCCATGATTATAACCAAGTATGTTAAGCAACATATTTATGTTCAAGACTTCGATTCAGCTTGTAATGAGCTTATCTACAGTGTGATATTCTCTGGTTTCTAGTCACAGGCCGAGCTTTGAGGCCTGAGCTGTTCAGATTGCTATTCACAGTGAGTGAGATCTGCTTTCCCAATGCCTCACAGGTTGGTGCTGTCGCGATTCGAGATTGAAGGTATCCCATGTGGGGACAGCCCCCTGGAATCGGAGGAAGATGAAGAGGAGGTGTGGTTATTTTGGAAGGACAGCAACAAGGAGATCCGCAGCAAGAGCATTCGCGAGCTGGCCCAGGATGCCAAGGAAGGGCAGAAGGAGGACCAGGAGGTCATTAGCTACTACCGGTGAGCAGTAACCCAGCAAAGGAGACGCGTTGTTGCTACGTTGGAGAATGGAGCCAGACCCTCAACCCTGTAGTCTGGCATTTAAAAAACTCACTCACCATCTCCTGCTGAGATCTATGTGCATTCTTTCTCTTCATGATACTAACATCTGATTTGCTAGTTGTGCAGTAAATTGGTGGCACTTTCAGGATTTGGTTGCTTTGTGTGCAGACAGCAGGTTACACTATATTGTTTTCACCCTGTGTGCCTGCATGAGATTTAGTTTTATATTGCAGGATTGATAACGTTCAGCCATTTTTCTACTCATGTGGAAAACATTTTACTTCATATAATATTTCAGATCCCAATGGGGAAAAAAAAACAATAAAATGTGAAAGTTTTATTGAGTGGAAGTGGTCTTAGACTATAGACACCATTCTTATTTTTCCCTGGTGTAAGATAACGTTTCTGTCTTTGCAGGTATCAGTTAAACTTGTTTGCTCGAATGTGTCTGGACCGTCAGTATCTGGCCATCAATAAGATTTCCAGCCAGCTGGATGTTGATCTCATCCTCCGCTGTATGTCGGATGAGGACCTGCCCTTTGATCTCAGGGCATCCTTCTGCCGTCTGATGTTACACATGCATGTGGATCGTGACCCCCAAGAGCAGGTTACCCCAGTCAAGTATGCCCGTCTGTGGTCAGAGATCCCTTCCAAAATCGCCATTGATGAGTAAGTGCTGTTTGTGAAATTAGGAATTGATCAGTTAGGTCTTGAATCTAAATGCTGTAAGCTCTCAGTGCCGCCTTCTAAACAAGACTTCTCCACCCTGCCAGTTATGACAACAATGGAACTTCAAAGGATGAAATCAAGGAGAGGTTTGCCCAGACAATGGAATTTGTGGAGAGTTATTTGAGAGATGTCGTTGTTCAAAACTTCCCCTTTGCGGACAAGGAAAAAAATAAACTCACCTTTGAGGTATGTTCATTAACAAAAATCTGTATTGCTGTCTTGGGAGTGGAATGAACGTTGCAACGTTAAAAAAATGAACTAAGAGATAGACTAATCACTTTTTTGTTACTTTTTTTTCTTTCTCAAGGTGGTGAATTTAGCCCGAAACCTCATTTATTTTGGGTTCTACAATTTCAACGATCTTTTGAGATTGACCAAAATCCTACTGGCTATCTTGGACTGTGTCCATGTCACTACAATCTTTCCAATCAACAAGTTGGAAAAGGGAGATGAAGCCAAAGGTAAATGTGAAGTGAGAGTTTGGTTTTAAAATCATGATTTTGTGGCTTCTGACAGTCAGTTGTATACAGTATGTCAGTACTAATAGATAAGCCTTTTTTTTGCTGTTGGGGTGTGGGGGGGGGGTATATGTTTTAATTTGGATAATAAGATTTCATTTAAGTTATGTACCTTTTCAATATATGGTATTATAAAAGATAGCTACTCAAGTATCATGCACACAAAGTTGTTCTTTTTGTTGTTTTCAATTAGAAGATTTTTGTTCACAAAACCTCCGAAATGCATTTAGGATGTAATGTTTCCCTAAGAGTCTATCATATACAGAGATTATTTTAATTATTGCTCAGGATTACTAGCTTGTGTTCAGGGGGGGGTATGCTGTCTTTTGAAGGAATGAATTGTATGTCAATTGGAAGTTGTGTGCTTTTCACCAGGTGTTTCTCATAGTAAGGAATCGTGTTTTCCAGCAAGTTTAGTCAACATATTCATCACAGAATTATAAATCTAAAATGCACCTAAAAGCATCAAGTGCCATATCATTATTTTATATAAAGCTACATAATTGTCAAGTACTGTATATGTTCCGCTATATACTGTATATATATATATTAAACAGCATTTAAAAGGTTTCCATTCCATTCAGATCAGTGTTACTGAGAGCTTCCCTCTGTACACAGGCAGCAATGTCATGAGGTCCATCCATGGAGTGGGGGAGCTGATGACCCAGGTGGTTTTGAGAGGAGGGGGGTTTCTCCCAGCATCCACAAATAATCCCCCAGATGGGGATGTTGTTAAAACACAGACTGAACCAGAGAAAGAAGACATCTTAGTCATGGACACCAAGCTGAAGATCATTGAAATCCTCCAGGTTCAGAATACTCTCTCTGCTCAGTTTTCTTTTATTTATTTTCCTCTAAACAGTCCGTTTGTGTTCTGTCTGTATGTGTACTTCAGAATTTATCTAAAGAAATACTAACTTAGATTCTTTTTCTAACAGTCAGTTCCCATGAGCAAATTGCTATGCTTTCACCATTAAGCAGAAAGTCTTAATCATTAATATGTTTAAAGTTTCTGGTGAGAAACATATTTAGTGGTCAGTATGAAGATATTATCAAAAAGTGATTTCGAATCAAAAGTAGAACTCTAATAATATGAATTGCTTACACTTATATAGCACTTTTCTGGACACTCCACTCAAAGCACTTTACAGGTAATGAGGACTCTCCTCCACAACCACCACCAATGTGCAGCATCCACCTGGATGATGCGACGGCAGCCATAGTGTGCCAGAACGCTCACCACACATTATTAGGAGGCCATGATTGGTAAGGGCCGATGGGAAATTGGCCCTTACCCATAGTAAGTCCACTTTACCCATAGTAAGTCCATTAGTTTTTGAATCACTGCTTGGGTTAAACACGTTTACATCCTCTTTTGCAGTTCATTCTAAATGTGAGGCTGGACTACAGGATATCATGTCTCTTGTGCATCTTTAAACGGGAGTTCGATGAAAGCAATTCTCAGTCAGACCTGTCTTCAGGCAACAGTCAAGATGGACACAACAATATGCAAGGTCAGGAGAATGACATACCATAGTTCTCATGTCTGTACTGTAGAGATGTTAAAAGGTGATGAGGGCACTCAGAGGAAGGCCTTTTAAGTTGGCTGTATATTTTGATTTTGGCACATTACAGACAATTTTCAAATCAATTACTGGAACTTGGAAATGTTTCTTCTTATTTAAGTTTGTTTTTCACTTCCTTAGGAGCTCTCGATTTTGAACACATCGAGGAGCAAGCGGAGGGGATTTTTGGCGGAAGGTGAAGTAATTCATATACTGTTGCTGTAGCTCTCCAAAAATATGGATACATTTAATTGGAGATCTGAAACACTATGCAGGGAGTTCCTGGTTTTCCATTTAAAAAAAATATTTTAAAATGTTCTGCAAATACACAAATGTGCAAGAATGGTTTCCCTGAAGCCTCTGAAATAGAGGGTGTTAGTGCAGGTACAGTTGAAGATGGCAAATGCTGTTGATCATCCTTTTGCTACAAAGCACAAGTCAGCTTGCAGGTGCAGAATAGCAGGATGAGATGCTAATCCAAAGATGCAGTGAGCTTGGGTCATGCATGTTAACAAAAATGTTGTTAAACTTTTGGAGGTTAGTTCTGTACAGTCCCAGGTGCTTCACTGTGAAACTGGGGAGGGCTGATCTCTGCTAGTTTTAACTGGCTATCCATTGTCTGGAACTATGCAGCACAGCTTCTCACTCATAGCAGCTCTCTTTAGTGAGGAGAACACACCCTTGGACCTGGACGACCATGGAGGGAGGACATTTCTGCGTGTCCTGCTGCATCTCACCATGCATGACTACCCCCCGCTGGTGTCCGGGGCTCTCCACCTGCTCTTCAGACACTTCAGCCAGAGGCAGGAGGTCCTGCAAGCATTCAAACAGGTATCTGTATTCCCCGTGTGCTGCAGCTAACTCATTCTCTGATGGAATATTCCTGGAAAGAAAAGGTTTCCCAATCCCGTCTCACTAACCTTAGATCCAGATATTCTGATCATAACGTAAGTCGTCGGTATTGGACCTTGTGTGAATGTATTGTGTTTTTTGCAGTAATTTCTAACTAAGCAAAGACTCCTCCGCCAGGTTCAGCTCCTTGTCACAAGCCAGGACGTTGACAACTACAAGCAGATCAAGTCGGACCTGGATCAGCTGAGGTCCATTGTGGAGAAGTCAGAGTTGTGGGTTTATAAGCGACAGGGTCCTGATGAGGGAATAGACGCAGGAGATGGGCCAGCTGGTGACACGGAGCGCAAGACAAAGGTAACGCTGGAAGCGTTCCTTGTTCAATCAATACTGGCCAAGTCCGCTGTGTTGAAAGCAGTTTACGTTTAACCACTTTCAGTTTATATGATTATCCTATCCTTGAGAACATTAAGCTCAACCTTGAGCATTGTTTTAGCTTGTAGTAGTCTCGCACCATTTTTTTTGTTCATATTTGTGTAGACATAGAAAAACAAAACATAAAAATGGCTTAACTAATCACCAAACCGTATTTACTTTAAGCATGAGATAAATGGGAGTGCAGTTGGACTTAAGCAAGGAATTCTGGGAGTCATTGTTTTTTTTATGTATCCACAGCCTGGTTTTAATAACATCAGATATGTTATGGTTTCCAACACAGGGTAATGTATTCCTATACCAATGATTAAACAGTTAATTTACTTTAGCTGTTAAGATGTTCGGATGGAGTGCCCTTAACTCTCTAAACTGAGTCGCTCCTCTCTCTTTCTGTTCACTTGTTTAGATTTTGAGTGAAAACATGCTTTTTTAGTTTGTTGTTCATTGCAGGGAGATGCAAATGCAAGTGGTTCAGATAAAGCAAAGAAGCCCGAAAGCACCAGCAGCTATAATTACAGAGTAGTGAAGGAGGTATGTTTTAATGGCTCATTGTGTCAAGCCAGTACATAAAAGCTTACCAAACATTTAACACTTGGTTCTTTTTTGATGCATGACAATTTCTTTTCAGCTCCCTGCTAAATGAAAACACTTACTCTGCAGAAGGTGTCCCTTAAGTATTCATTCTCTGCCTCAATATTGAGGTTGCAGTGCTTTTTATCCTGAGAGACATAAGTGATTTTCTACCTTTCCATCACACTGTATCCCAGTGAATTCCAGCCCTTTCATGAGTTAAACAGCCTTCATGATCCCAGACAGAACCACACAATTTAGGAGATTTTGAAGACCTTCAGCCACTTCACTGTTCAGAACTACCCCCCCCCCTCTGCAAATCCTCCACATTCATTCATTTATTAAAAACCATAAACCCCTGACCTGTTGTATTGTATTCATTTGTTAATGAGTTAATGACACCTCTCCCATTAGATCTTGATCAGGCTCAGTAAACTGTGTGTCCAGGAGGGTTCATCTGGCAGGAAGAGCAAGAAACAGCAGCAGAGACTCTTGAGGAATATGGGTGCTCACACAGTGGTACTGGAGTTACTGCAGATCCCTTATGAGAAGGTAGGGGGCTGCATTGTGGGCTCAGCTCTGTAAGAGCTGCTTTTGACTGGATAAGTCCTACCTAGATTAGACAGTGGTATTTACCACCTTGTAGCATGACTTTGTCAGTTCTTGGAAGTTAATAATTGTTGGGCCTAGCCAGTACTGGTATGGAAGAGGTATTACAAAAAACAGTTTGTTCATGTACATGGAGTTGGTTGATCAGTAGGTGACAACCTTCTCTTCCTTCTGGAATCAAAATTACAAAATAACAATGCCCCATGTTTCCCAGAATGAGCTGTTAAACCAAAGTCCTGACTATTTGGTTATTTTAAGATTCTGCGTTAACCTGTCTCCTTTCTGAATTTTGCTTGCAAAGCTGTCCTTCTTAAATTTCCACTGGATCTTGCCTTCCTTCTCCACCTGATCTGCGTGTAGTGGCTGCCACATATCACCTAGGTGACGTGGGAGAGCTATTGTGTTCCTTCTGAAAATGGCTCCAAGTTACTTAGGCGACATGTTTTTAATTGCCCTTTAGGGTTAAACGGCAGAAATTTAGATACTTGAAAATGTGTTCTGCATCTCTGGCAGGCAGGTGGTTGTGAACAGTCCAGTGTGCGTCAGTAATGGTTGTTTGTGTTGGCTGCAGGGGGAGGACATCCGTATGCAAGAGATCATGAAACTGGCTCATGAGTTCCTGCAGAATTTCTGTGCTGGGAATCAACAGAACCAGGCGCTGCTTCACAAACATATCAACCTCTTCCTCAACCCAGGGGTACGCAGCACCAGGGGACGGGTTCTTCTGGGTGAACAGCAAAATAGAAAGTGCTTATAAAAGTTGTCGGTAGTACATATATACAGTATAGTCTCATGCTGCAAAAGATGCAGAAAATGTGACATTTCAAATGAAATTGAGATTTTAGTTTCATATCATTTTAAACTTTGAATATTCATTAAAAATGTGGGGCCTGGCTTAATTTCACTGGTCAGTTACTCATGACTAGAAAATAGCACCACTAGTGGTATGAGACCAGTTCTTGTATAGTTCTATTCTTTCAGACATTGCTGTTAACCAGTGGAGGACTTTGTCGTGTTCCATTTTGAAATTGGATAAACCATTTTTTTGTTATTGGCAAACTGGGCTTCAGCTTTCATTAAATTAAGAAATCATTAGGATTTGAATATGGATTATGATATCTGCTGTCTTACTTAACAGGATGATCAGGTCCAAATGATTATTATTTAGACTCCTAAAAGAATACAACCAAAGGTCTTCAGATTCCTCAGATTTAGGTATTGCTGCTTATTTCTGTGACAAGCTGATGTTCTGAACTGTTCTGTTTCTGTTTATCTCAGATCCTGGAAGCTGTGACTATGCAGCACATCTTCATGAACAATTTTCAGCTGTGCAGTGAAATCAGCGAGCGCGTGGTGCAGCACTTTGTCCACTGTATTGAGACCCACGGCCGAAATGTCCAGTATCTCAAGTTCCTTCAGACCATTGTCAAAGCGGAAGGGAAGTTCATCAAGAAGTGCCAGGATATAGTCATGGCTGAGGTACGCTGACCCTTCATGTGACAAGACAAAACATGACTCCATTTCCTTGCATTTAAAGAATCCTCTTGCTTTTGTATAACAAAATACATTGTAATGGGTATACTTGAGTTTTTTTTTTACTTTAATCTGTCTTTTCTCACAGGCAATGAATACTTACATTTTGTATTCTAGGTACCAGAGAGTCCTGCCCACTTCAAGCTGACAAATACTTAGAAAGTGTATTGAATTGGATTTCCCACCACTTTTTCTTTGAGCAGTTTCTGTAATATGTTATGTATAGCTTTATAAAGCTAAATAAGAAATACTATAGCTATTTGAATGATGCAGTACTAAAATGTTATAGATGGGAAGACAAAAGAAGTAAAGGTGTACTGTGTAACATCTGTATTGAAAAAAAACAAAAATGTTTTGTAGCTGGTGAATGCCGGAGAGGACGTCCTGGTCTTTTACAATGACCGGGCCTCCTTCCAGACCCTCGTGCTGATGATGCGCTCCGAGAGGGACCGCATGGACGAGAACAGCCCCCTAATGTATCACATCCACCTGGTGGAGCTGCTGGCCGTGTGCACAGAGGGCAAAAACGTCTACACCGAGATCAAGTGCAACTCGCTGCTCCCTCTGGATGACATTGTCAGGGTGGTGACGCACGAGGACTGCATTCCTGAAGTAAGACCTCTGGCTGGGTTGTCCTGAAAGTGTAAATCTGTCCGCGCATGCCTCTGGTTTCTCTGCATCTCCAGAAAGATTAGCAGTGGTTAGGGTGGTGGCACATGGAAAATGAAAAGATGTGTCATACAGTTGAACTACTGTCCAAATAAAGCCTTATTTAAGGCTGTTGATTAGTGTTTTAAAGTTAAATGTGAGTTAGGAGCATGCACAGGGTCTGGAATATGGATTGGTTGCTAGCGAGCACAGAATGTTAGATTTCATTTTAGACGCCTCAGGGAAATTGCCCTCTCTATCCACCCATTAAGTGAAAGTTGCTGGTAAGAGTCACCGTAGACTTGTAGCCTATACCTGGAATGTGTGTTGCACGAGAGGACTACATCTGCATTCGACACCAGTGACTTGCAGAGCTCTGCCCACACCATAGAATTTGTTTTTTAAACAGTTTACGTGATTATTGTGTAGGTGAACTATGTCCAGAGCATAGCAAATCTTCATTTAAGTAAAATCTTTAGGTTTTCTGAGGAAATATTTGTAAGACTTCATGTATCTATATAATGTAATGACTACATCGATCTAAACTATGCATTATTATACAGACAAATTAATTATTTTGCATTGTTTAAAGGTTTATGTAACCTTTCAGATCCATGTTATACTGGAAGGCATACGATTTTATAGAAAAGGTGCAGGCTTTCACCTTAAGATGTTAGAAATAAAGTACTGAATTTGAAAAGATGGGGAAAAAATTGCTAGGTAGAGGATTTGTACTCGCAGAATATTGTATGTTAGACATCTAACTGCAGACATCTCACTCTTTTAATGAAATTAGTGATTGATTATTTTCCTAGGTGAAAATTGCATACATCAACTTTTTGAATCACTGCTATGTGGACACTGAAGTGGAGATGAAAGAAATCTATACCAGCAATCACATGTGGAAACTTTTTGAGAATTTCCTGGTTGACATATGCAGGGTAGGTGTGAAATCCTTTATGTGCATATTGTGAATGTTAGAGTTAATTCTGCATTCCACGTGTATCTTCCAGTCTCTTTTCGATTTCTGTCTGTAATTCTATGTAGAAGGATGGGTACTTCAGGTACATGGAAGTTGTTGTGAACTTGAGTTATGCTGCAATAATAATACCATGTTAACGTTTTGTAATTGGTGTACGTCAAACACGATATTGTAACCAGAAACACCTTTGCATTTCTCAAATAGTTTTGTAGTTTTGTTCCTCGAAGCATTGAAGAATTTTTGAACAAATATTTAGGTTTTCAAGTCATAATGCCTAAAGCAAAATAAAGCTGATTGTCTGAAACATGACAAAATGACTCGGTGAAACCCTATTGGAGAAAAATGCACTCCCTTTTTTCTATGTGTTGTATTGTTATATTTATACACTGAACTAGTTGTGTAATTGCTTTATTTTGGTCAAGCTACAAGCTGCCCTTATTAATAGCCCCCCCCAAAAAAACAAACTGGTTTGTTAGCATGTTTTCTCACCAAGTGGTGAGTACAGTGGTGAAAGAGAATGAAATGTCAGCTGTTCAAGAAGAGTCTGTTTTCACCCTTTGAGGTCTGCAACAATACAAGCGACAGGAAGCACGCAGACATCATCTTGGAGCGCTATGTGACGGAGACAGTGATGAGCATTGTCACCACCTTCTTCAGCTCCCCCTTCTCTGACCAGAGTACCAGTTTACAGGTAACCCAGTTCGCATGCCCTCAGAACAGACTCCGTTTAGCAATCATGAAGTCACAGTCCTAAAAACCAAAATAGCCACCACCGAAAACATTCTATTGTGAACGCACATCTGCATGTCCTTTTCCAGTACTGTAAAAATGTCCTTTGAAGGTCTGAGGACTTAAAAAAAAAAGATCGAGATTGACGAAAACTTGTCTATGAAACCAGTGTCATAAGGTCAACATTTCAACACACTTACATTTCTAGAGATGGTGCAACTTTTTTCCACTTTATAAGTGTTCCTTTCATTCAGCTGTAATACACAAGATTAAGTAAATAACACAAGATTTGGTTTTATCCATGCTCTATTATCTTATATGGCAGTGCAGCTTAGAGAAAACAACTCGACCACAGTTTTTTTTTTCTTGTAACAGTAATTCTGCGTTAGATGTACTTGAGAGGCCTAACAAGAATGCCTGTTTTGTGCAACACTTTGTCCTCTGCACTCATGAGATGCACATGGATTGAATTTTATTACTGAAATAATTTACATTGCAGGCAAACCTTTCTTTTTCATGGTCTTATGGGGATTCTCTGGAGTTCTCCAAGCTAATATACAGTTTCTTTTCATGTAGGTCTTTCGTAACATATATGTAAGTATGAATCTGCTGTAACACCATAGACTGGAAACCCCATATGCTTTGTATTCCCACGTAGCTCCCCTTTAAAACTGTTTTCCTTCCTTTATACAAATTTAACTTGGAAACAGTTCCTTACTGATAATTGCATTTTCTTAGATTAAAAAAAAACTTCTGTTTTGTTAGTTGTTACGATGACTGATTTATATTAAATGCACACAGGCCACTGTTTAAATGTAATCGTACCTCAGATTGTGTTAATGCCTGTATTACAACATGAATTGTGTACCACATACTCTGTGGTAATTAAGTGCTTTATTTTGGAAAGAAAACAATTGAAAGCAACCTTTTCTGGAATTGAAAAGGCTGTTTTAAAATCGCTTTAGTTAGCCAAAATGTTTTATGTACCCCTCCATTCAGCGGCAGACTTAATTGTGAAAAATATCAGTTGAAGGATGCAATTCAAGTAAACTTTAAAAATTCTGTTTGAGTGTAAAGCTCTCGTGAAAGAGAGTAATGAGATCCAGTCTCTGGAGTGTCTTGTTTCACTCTTAAACTATAAATAAACCACATCAGTTGATCTCAGTGTAAGGTCTGAATGATATATTTCAGTTAAATAACCCGGTGTCAGGTCTTTAAGCGCTTTAAGCACAAGTAAAATAATTTGTACTTTTCGATTCTGTAATGCACCAGCAGCCAGTACAACCATTTCAACACATCAGTGCTCTGGATGTTTTTTGGCATTTCAGCATCAGCACTCCACAATACTCCAAAAAGACATGAATGATAACTTGAAAGAACAGGAAATAAAGCATTGCAGTAGACATTCCGCTAATGGAAAATGTATTTAAACACGGCCAGATGTCAGATTGATTAAAACAGTATATAACATACTGTATTGTTACTTAAGTCTTACTCTGCTACTGTTTACCAAATGTACAATACGGTGCTTTGCCTTTGGGGTCCTTTTTGTGCTTTTTGAATGATACACAATCAAAATTTAAATGAAAGAATGGGGGACTGGAAGTCAAAATAGAAAAACATTACTGAAAGAAAACAAAAATACTTTGAGAAAAATACATTCCCATATGGTTTCTTCCAGCATTGTTGTTAAAACCAACTAAAAGGTGCATTCTTCATGGTCCTTTTTTTCCCTTTCGTTTTCTTTTGATTTTGGAATTTTTGATATTTATTTCCCTTAAAATTTGAATAAATATGTTTTGATATGCAGGGGTTTCACACATTATATATTCCAATTTAACAAAGGGGAAATATATAGCCTCTATATTTTTTTCTTTCCTGATTTGAGCAAAATTCTAACACTAAAGTTAGGATAAATACAAACTCAAGATCAGTATTGGTCACATGTCCGATAATACATTGGATGTTACATGCCTTTTTGTAAGGAATTCAAGTACTGCCATTCACATTTCAACCTTTAAGTTTCATTTTGTTTGCATGGTCAGTTCCATACATGTAGCTGTGTATGCTGTAACTGGTTTTCACTGGATCAAAAATGTTTAGGCTGTTTTAAAAGTCAGGTTTTCCTGTTCTCGGAGGCTCACAATGGAAATACATGCATTGGAAATACATTGTTTTAAATGAAAAATGCACATAGTGAACAGAATAGTCTAAACTGGGGACTTTGGCCTAGTTAGAAACAACCTTTTGGCCAGAACCTCCTACCCAAATTCCTGAAGTTGAAGAATCTTAAGTACTTTACAAACCAAGCCACACAGGGCAATCACACAGGATTGTACAGTGGTGGTTTGACATTTTAACCCTTTTTCTTTCGTAACAGGCTTCGATTCTGGGGAAAATAACAGAGGTATTTTGAAATAGTTTCTCCAGCAGTGAGTGCACAGGGTGTGGTCTGGTTATGGTGGTAGTGACACAGATGGTATGGCACTGCTGTAGTAGGTCTGAAGGGCTGTAAAAGAGAATTGTAGTGCCAAGTTTTCTACAAAACGTTTTCTATTTTGAACTACATCTGTTATTAAAAGCTGCTTCAGTGCCCATTTTAGCAGTCCTACAGGCCTGCTAGACAGCAAGTGTTGATACCGGCTTCTCACAAGTTTGGGAGAGGCTCTGTTAAATGTCCACTTCTTGTACATGCTTTTAGATTCCAGTAGAATTCTACAAAGAAGAGAAATCCCTCTCCCTTTTAGGATTTTGTGGATTACAGAGCAATGCCATTCTGTTACCAAGAATTCTGGGCAATATAAATTAAGTATCAAATTCTTAATGTGTTAATCCATTTTTTTACTGAATCCTGAAGTTAGTTATATTGATTATTGAAGTTTCTGATTGTACATATCAAAAAGGTGTAACAAATGCTCAGAATATTTGGAACATTGTCAAAGTAAAATATTTTCTTTGTTTTCTAAATGCTAAATACTATAATTTTAATTTTCTAGACTGTCAGTACAAATCAATTGGTTGATTTGTAAGCAATATGCAAAAAGTCTTTGTACTGTGCATAGTCGATGCAGTACTGGTCTTCTAAGCAACTACTTTACAACTGAAAGTAGGAAGTAAGTAGTTTATTATTTTGGATGTTTTCACTTGCATCTTGTGGTGTTTGCTGTTGTTTAAGTAATGTGATTTCTCTGAAGTGGCTCTGTTCTCACTTGGGGTGACTGGTACAACAATAATTGTAATAAGAAACTTAACACACAGGAAGTGTTCTAGTTCCATACACAATTCCTGATATTCACATGAAACCTGGATGAAAACATGAAACTTTAAAAAAAAAAAAAACTTGGCAGTTCCAAAACTGGGTGGGTTTGTCCTTTCAAAACTTGAATACAAAAAGAAATACATACCATAGCTCCGAAGAAGAAAAATTTGTTTTTGTTTTTTAATGTACGGTATCTTCAGTGTATGACATTTCTTTCCCTCTTTGGTTGAAAAGTATCATTGATTGATCATTTTCCAGGCCTGTGGTTTTTATTTTCTTCTTTGTGTATGGCAAAGCGACAGCAGTAGCACAACTCAGAGCAGGGGCTGGTGTGGGTGTTCCGGGATTCCTCTCTAAAATCCCTCATCTCCTCTCTCCCCAGACTCGGCAGCCAGTGTTTGTGCAGCTCCTGCAGGGTGTGTTCAGGGTCTACCACTGTAACTGGCTGATGCCGGTCCAGAAAGGCTCGGTCGAGGGATGCATTAAGGTGCTCTCTGACGTGGGTAAGTCGCTTGGCAGTCTTCATCCTGCAGGGGTGAATAGTACTGAGCTGGAGAAGGTCCTCCTTTATCAAAAGCCTGCAGTGGATTTTCTCCATGTTATCTGCTGGAATTTCTCAATGTTCAAATGAATCGTTCTTTTCCAAACCTCTGCTGTCCCAGAGCATATTAAATTTATCCTTAATTCTTTACTTAGTTGTAATATTAGCCTAAGGCATATGTCTCTTTTTGTTCTCCTGTGTGTTATTTCAATGAACATAATGCTTGATTAAATAGTGATTTATTGTTTTTTAATGTTTTCCCTACTTCCGGAGTCTAGGGTTACAAGCAGACTTTGCTGTTTCCCGTCAGGTTTGGTTCAGTATTGCTAAACTCATGAGCTCCTTGTAACTGTAGTAAGCATTACTACCAAACTAAGCGTACAGAAGTTTATTAAATGAGGAAATTACCTGACTTTTGAGAGGGATGTCAGAAACCAAACTACTAGCTACTTGCACCCCAGCTTTACCCCACGCCAGAAATTGTCATCATTCCAAGTGTTATTTCTCAAAACTGTCATTCACAAATTACTCTCTTTTCATATTTCGTCTCATACATCCCTCCTCCAACTCATCTCTTGCACAGACCCCTTGGGTAACTCCTCACTGTGCATGAAGGTCCTAATGTCAGTCACTGGTTTTTGCTTTTTTGATGGACTGGTAGCAATGGCACGAGTGTACAGTTGTGTGTCATCCTGTATGTACTGAAATGAAAGAAGGCATGTTAGTGCTCAGCAGTATTATTTCTGTCATGATGGTCAACCTTCACAGCTGTGCACAGGCCCCACAGTCACTTGAAATAGTCAAGGTAAAGATTCAAATATACCATTTAACTCTTTTCTGTTATGTAGCCAAAAGCAGAGCTATAGCCATTCCTGTGGACCTGGACAGCCAAGTGAATAACCTGTTCCTGAAATCCCACAACATTGTCCAGAAGACAGCCATGAGCTGGCGGATGTCGGCCCGCAACGCAGCACGGAGGGACTCTGTGCTGGCTGCCTCCCGAGACTACAGGAACATCATAGAGAGGCTACAGGTATGTGCTCCTGTATCTGCTGAAAGAGACGTTCCTCTGTCTCTGGAATTTGAAATACCTATTCTATGGGACAAATCCTGCAATGCCCCCACTCAGCAATGCATGCCTGACCTGTAAAAAATACTTTTTGCCCTTTTGTTTTCACCTTTATCCCAGCGTTTTTGCCTATATAGACGTGGCCTTTATGTAATGCTTTGGGTGTCTGGCATTTAGATCAGCTCTAGTGGTTGTGTTAACCACTTATTTTGGTGGAATCAAAGTAATTGCGTGGTCTTCAAAATTTGAAGAAATCTTTTTTTTTTTAGTATTCATGTATTTTCAAGAGGGTTTCTTGATTTTTGGTCTGTGTCTGTGTTATAACTACTTTCAAATGTATTAGTATTTTATATAGTATATAGTATTTTATTTGTATAATTAGTATTTTTGAAGATTAATATTTTCTCCCTTTAAAGTAGCACTGTGTAAAGCAGGCCTCCAAATCAAAGGCAGGATGACCTTGTAACTCCTTTTGGAATGACACATGGCACATTTTCCTGTTGCTACCTGTGTTCTCGATGAGTATCCTTGAAATTCCGGTTCAAAATTCTGTTGAATTTTAGAAGAAAATGCTCCCTTACATTTAAATAGAGAAAAATGTTACCTTACAATTAAATGTTACAGCTCCTTCTCGAATACATATTTTGGTTCTTTCTGTGAAAGAAGGTAAACATTACCATAAGTCTACTGGGTTTGAGACTTACTAAACTAAAGTTCTGTGAGAGCACATTTACAGCTGCTGACTACTTTATTTGTGCATCATAATTTACAATATATTATGTAATTAGATACAGAACGTAATAAATTGTAAAATAAATATCTGTATTCCCATAAAGAGTCAATTGTTCCCGTAAAAGATCACCAGTACCTGCTTGTTTGAGGAAAGTGCCAATTGCATGTATATTTGAGTATTAAAATTGATTAGGTTTAAAAAATACATTCAATACGGAATCACCTGGTGCTATCTTTGTGGAGTTTGTATGTTCTCACCATGTTTCTGTGGGTTTCCTCTAGGTGCTCTTCTTTCCTCCCACAGTCCAAAAACATACTGGTAGGTTATTTGGCTTCTGGGAAAATTGGCCCTAGTGTGATTATGACTATGAGTGTGAGTGTGTACGTGTCTGTGTGTCCTGGAATGTACCCTGCCTTGTGCCTCTTGCTTGCTGTGATAGGCTCCGGCTCTCAGCGACCCTAAATGGAAGTAAGCAATTACCTAATAGATGGAATGAGCTACTGGGCTTTAATGTGGTCTAACTTAGGAGGGGTCAATTCCTCCTGACATCCGTTTTCTTCAGAATTGGAGGAAAAAAATAAATAATTTTGTATTTTGGGTTCCTCGAACAGTGGTGATGAGGCTGCATTTCCAGACACTGGCTAAGCCCCTCCAGCTCCAGTGGGAGTAGTCTGCAGTGAGCAGGTCACAAGGTTCATCTCATCTCAGTCATGAGCGCTTTCTTCCTGAGTCATCACCATGAGGTTACAGGGCCACGTTTGTTTATCTGGAAAAAACAACAGATGAAGATAAACTAGAACTCTGTTTCTCGGACCGGTTAAATGCTGTGGTTGAGTGCTCAGAATTCATGGACAGAAAGTAATTTTCAGACTCCCCAAAAATTCTAGGCCGTGATCGTTTTATTTCTGATATTATTTAAAGCAGAATATGATTGAAAAAGGTTCCCGTTCAGCTCTTATTTATTAACTTCCTGTAAGGCTACACTCAAAATATATTTACTTAATAGATTGTTTAGCTAATTAAAGTCGGAATAATTTAAAACTTGAGCAGGCAGTTTGGATTTTATCAGATTCATTCTGTGTCTTTACTCTATAGTCTCTCTCCATTATTGCTGAATTGTCTGTCTTTTGTAGAATATACCATTTTTGTGTAATCAAATGAAAATGCTGTTGGAATAGTGTGAGCCCCATTTTTTTCCTTTGAGGTCTGGCGTGGTTTAATGTGCTCTGTAGCTGTGCAGATATTCCTCGAGTCTCCAGCATATGTTTATATTAGGGCGCTGAAGTTTATTTTGAGTTCCCCATTTCTCTCCCCACTGTGGTGACTAATTTGGTGAGTCGGTAACTTGTTGATATAATACCATCCAGAAGTGTTAAAGGGGAATTGAGGCTTTTTGAAAGTGAACGGTTTGTCACACAGTCTGCTCCAGAACCACAAAAAAATAAAACAAGATAAATAACTGCACCTGACAAGAGCATACCAGTTAAATGGGTCTTTGAAAAATTATGTTTCCACTTATTCACTAAAAGTAATGTAGTAGCAAATCTTATTAGTCCTGTCTTACTTCCCAGAAATATAAATAACATTTAAATTAGTATCACAATCCACCATACAAGTGCCCAAAAGCATTTTCCTGCACCGAATTTTGAATTCTTCCAAGTTGTTCTGTTTGTTAAAATGCTTTGAATTGGGTTATAATTGTGAGTTTGGATTTCCTCCTAAATTTTACAATAAGTATTATTAAAATAGGAAATTGTTCTTATAGATTTTTGTACCTGGTGTATAGTGACTCAGGCTTTTTATTTGGTGATAATCCTTTTGGAATTGAATATCTTATTGAAGTCTCTGTTTTCTTTCCTGCCTTTAGAGCAACAATATCTATTACAGTGTCCAAAACCGAATACTATAGAATAGTTCAAGTGAGCTTGCACATTGAAAGATTTTAATAGGACATATGATATTTGAAATGCATGTCCCTTGTTTAGTCTCATTAAATTTACTTTGCTTGTTGATCTCCCAGTCCAAATGAAGTCTTCTTGTCCTGCTTGTTCTGTTGTTGAATTATTTGCAACAACACTTATTTTTGTATAATCTACGATTTGATTGGTTTACTTACTTACTAAAACAGATCCTGGATTTTTGGTAGGTGTTCCTGGGCACCTAACTGTCATTCCATTCTAAGATTGCTCCCCATATAATTACCAGTTTTTATTTTTTATCAAATTCTACAGTACTCTGCAGAACATTGTTACAGCAAAATCTAAACTTATTTTTGCTGTACCGCCAAGCAATTTGTGTTTCTGACCATGAAATATACATCTTATTTTTGCTTAGCTCTGTGCATATATTGAACATATTAAAATCAAAGCAAACATTGGGTAGGACCCATGTTTTCACATGATTGACGCAATTTCCAACATACTTGACTGAACAAGTGGCATTTTTTGGACAATCTGCAGCTTGTTTGCTAGGTGTCCCCAGGGAGTCCCTGGTTCAAATTCTGGATGAGCCTGTGCATGTTGCTTTCTTCATTCTTACGTTATTACTGAGAACAGAAGGTACTTCTTTACACAAAAGGTTGTGGGAGTATGGAACAAGCTAACCAGCTGTGTTTTTGAAGCTCTCCTTCCCAATACTAATTCTCCTAGTTCATTTAACACCTCATCCTCATGTTCTGATCTCCAGGGTAAGTGGGATTATTATTTTACCAATGGCACGCATTTTCTTCTGAAATCACTGAAAATGTCTGAATGTCAGGGGACCTGTTCCATCTTCTAGAAAAGTTCAGTTTGTCACCTGTCTTCCTCTATTGATCCTTTGCACCTGTGACATGTGGAAAAACGTCTTCAGCATTAATTTCGGCTCCCATAGCTCCCATTTTTTCCTTTCTCTCTCATGAATGTTCTAGCAAGAGCTGCTTATGGCAAATCTCACCCAGGAAAAGATGTAAAAACGTATGTTTCTGCATCTGCCTGTTCCAGTCAGCAGGTTGGAGTTATTAGCTGATAATTCAATATGGCTTTTCTGTTAAACCTTCTTTATATGCGTGCATGTATTAGCCACGTGTGAACCCAGGCCTGTTGTTCCAGGACATCGTGTCTGCGCTGGAGGACCGGCTGCGGCCCCTTGTCCAGGCCGAGCTCAGCGTGCTGGTCGACGTTCTTCATCGGCCGGAGCTGCTCTTCCCAGAAAACACTGACGCGCGGAGGAAGTGCGAGAGTGGCGGGTTTATCTGCAAGTAAGCAGTCCTTCTGCCACTTCTGAATGAGTCCTCCCAAACCGCACATCAAGACCGATTTGCAGCACAGTATAAAAAACTAGCAAGATTCCTAAAGATTCACGTTGCAGTTTATAAACCCCCCCCCCCCCATGAAAAGTCATAATTCAAGTAGAAGTCACAAGGTTATTGACTGACGCAACTGCATGGGTCTCTTCACGAGAAGTGTGTTAATCTGGTTTTACAGTGACATTATGCTTTGGGGTGTGCGAAGGGTAATGTCACCGTGAAACCAGATTAACACACCCATGCAGTTCAGTCAATCAATAACCTTGTGACTTCTACTTGAATAATGACTTTTTAATCCATTCACAACTTTTCAGGTCTTCTGGTAATGTAACCTTGATAACTAATGTTAACTTGTGATAACGTATCAAGAAATGTATCTGCCAGAAATGGGACCAAATCGTACCTTCGGGCAGGTGCCGTCTTAAAGTGTTTCTCAGGAAACACTGTTATGCTGGAAAGACAAGTTGCAGAAACCAAAATTAACCAAATAACCCAAATTATTTTTTCATGCTCTGGAATTATTCATGCATTTCCTCTACATTAAAAAATATTTTAGTTCTTGATACTGTTCTATTTAAAAGCAAAGACAACCCCTATTTTAATTTTAAATGTTTCAGAAAATAAACAACATTGCGTTGCATTACGGTTTTTTGCTTTGCCCTTGTTTTCTGGAATATTATCACTCTTTTGTCACAAAGGTGCAGCAAATATGTATTGTTTACATCGTAAATACCTATTCTGATTTACCAGTGCCACTGCTTATTGTAAATGGAGGACTTCTTTATTGAGAAGGCGCAAGCAGTCTCTGGTGATTACTGAAAGGGTGAGGTAAAATCCAATACAGAAGTCAAGACGCAATGGCGTATCAAGATAAGTCAGCACTTTCTACTTGTCCTCAATTAACTGTTTGTACAGTTTTTCCAGATGCATATTTAACATCAACAGAAGGGCTTGGGGTGCAGACACCGTGAAAGCCACATCCCGCCCATGGGTCTCTGGCAGGGTGACTCACTGCCAAGCTCTCGCACTACATTACCTCTCTGTCTTTAAACTCTCACCAGGCACAGACATGTTACTTCATTAGAGGCTCCTCTGTGAGAAGAATGTATGTCTGCTTGTGTGGGTCAGACAGACCTGTTAGAGCACTAAAGGCCAGATCTCCTGTGGGAAAACCTGGCTGTCTTGATGGCTTCTTAAAAACATAGTAGATACTGTTGGAATGAACATAACATAACCTTCTAAAAAAACAATTCCTTATAGCCCATCCCAAAGAACAACTTTCTGTGAAAATAGAAAATAGATTTTTAAGTATGTTTAAAATGATTTTTGAAGAAAATAAAAACATGTCGTACATATGCATCTTCAGACATTACATTTTCGTACCACTGGGGGACAGCAGAAACTTTATTCTAAGACAACCAAACCCATCCCTTTCAGCCATGAATAAAGCAAAAAGAATGTCGAGTCAAGAGTCTTTCCAGTGCACTGTTGGCTCTAATTTAATTACAATTTTTTCTAATCTTTTTTCATCAGAGAAGTTGGGTGAAAATGGTTAAACATGACTGTTTTGACTAAATATAACATTGGATGCTATAAAACAAAACAATCTTTACTGCACTCAGGTATTCCATGTACATATGCCCCTGGACCACAATGGCTACAAAGAGACAGAACAAAACAGGTGCATTATGATAGAATGAGCCATTCTCACTTAATCACACCTCACTGGTGTGACAGGGATTATACTAAATATGGAGCTCTTCGAAAAGGCCCCTATTAAAAATATGGATTATCTGTCCCTGAATGCAGTGTGGATTAACCTAGTGAGCAGTCAATCAAAGAAAATATGTTGATGTCCAGCATGAGTTATACTTTGGTATTTTATGTTGTTTGGTTATTTAGTGAAAATTAGATGTTCGTAGCAGAAGCACCTCTTGTCCTGGCAGAAAACTAAAGTATGAAGATCACAGAAGTGTATGTTTTTTGTGCCTGATTATAAGAATAACCAGGCAAGACACCTTGTTATTTTTGTTTGGTAACACAAGTCACACGAGAGGAACATGATGACTTCAAGAATGTTGACTGCTGGGTTATGGCTAAAAACTGCACTACCTACAAATGCTACAAGTACCAGAGTTGACGTCTGTCCTGGGCATGTTTCCCACTACATTCTAACCTCTATGTGAAAACTCATTTGCTTGCCTAAAATGAACTCGGCAGCAATCCAAAAGCTCTTTTTCCTCTTTCCGTTTAATGTAATTAACAAAAAGCTGAGAACATTAAAATGAAACTTTTTAACAAAAGGAATACCCTGTGTTTTCCTTTATTTTTTAGGCTGATAAAGCACACTAAACAGCTGCTGGAGGAGAATGAGGAACGGCTGTGTATTAAAGTCCTGCAGACCTTGAGGGAGATGATGACCAAAGACAGAGGCTATGGGGAGAAGGTACTGGTACCACTTTGCTCTAGATACAGTCGAAAAATCTTCCTTCCTTTACAGATTTCACAGCTCTGAGGAAATCACTGTGCAGCAGGACTACTACAAACCTCTACCAGAGTTTCCCCTGGCTTTGCTCTGGCCAAGAATAGTACAACGTCTTTGTCTCATTGCTCTGTGAAGACTTTCCATAGCCCCTTTATAGCACTTTATGCTGAGTATCCCCTGAACTTAATGCTTAATGATATCTACAGCAGTCATATTCACTCGTGGTCTTGGACTGTATTCTGGTTTTAAAGTCCACCCTGGATGCTTAGTGACAGTGATTGAATCAGTTGTTCACGTAGTCTATCTTCTGTTTGATTGTTATCTATAATACTCAGTGGACAGGATCCCTCCTGGACCACAATGGAACGTAATCTGTGGGATATATAGTGTCAGCCCCCTTTTTATTTGCAAATTAGTTTCAATTCATTTGAAAAGCAAATCTTGACAATGTCGTGACAGAACTAAAATGTGCAGGTTAATTACTGCAGCTTCAACTGCTCATTGTAAGAGTCCGTGACCAGAGCTTATTTTTAATTTACTTCAGACATTTTTTAGGAAAATAAATGTTTGGTGATGGATTAAGTGTGCATATCTTATGAGCTTCTAATAAGCTGTTACGTATTTCTGATTACAAGCAAATATTGACTCATTAAATGGCTGCAAAGCGCAGTATCCTAAAAACCGGATAGGGTATCCTAAAAACCAGATTTGAGCTGATCAAAATGGTAAATGATTAGAGGTAAAATGGTGCTTAGCTTCCCAAGAATGACGTGACTTAAGGCGACAGCAGTGTCTGCGATGAGCAATGTGAAAGGGTCCTCTCACATATTTCTACATTTCTTAGTTATTTAAAACTGCCACACATTTGTTAGTTTATCAGGTTCTGGAGATCACAGGTTCTGAACACTGCTAAGGAAATAAGTGCTTTGAAGTTTTATAATTGGATAATTGTTTAAATACGAGGGGGTGTTAAGAGACATACTGTACGTAGAAACAAATGCTTGTTTGTTTTACATTCAGGGGTGTCCATCTCTGGTCCTGGAGGGCTATGCATGTGCTGGGAGAAGATGTTAAATTGGTCTAGTTAAGCCAGCAACACTAAGCTCACTGGAGTGAAAAGCTTCAGATACACCAGCCCTCCGGGATCAGCGCTGGTCACCTTGTTTAACACGGTTCAGCTCTCACTCTCAGCTCTCAGTTGTGTTTGCCAGAATAAATGCAACCTTTTAAACATGATCATATTAAAGGCTGAGCAATATTATCATTTATGCTGTACTTCATACAGAAAGACAGCTGGGGTGTATGTATGCGTTTTGTGCTTGAGCAGATCTCCCAGAGACCATTATAATTCTAAAATGAAGTATTCATGATGTGCATGTCTATGAAGGTTTGTGTTTTATGGCACAGAGCAGGCCTTGTCAAGGGGGCTGCTGAACTGTCTTAATATTTGTAATATTTAACTCACTATTCTAGAAACTGATGCATTTATTTTGCTTTTATCACATCAATGCGTCTCATTCCTCATCACTATATTGCTTACAGCTTTACTCTAGCAACCTGAAGTTTGACCTCGGCTTCAGCTAGGGTTCTGCAGATAGAACAGAAGGTTATTTTTTCATCCCTTTTATGTATATCTGTGTTTTTCTATAGTCCTGTTTGCAATTTGCATTCTGTTAGGGAGCATGTATTCAGATATGGATAGTACTTGCATGTGTTAACATTATTCAGGACAAGTTTGTAGCAGTAGGCTTTTCATTTTTGACTAATCCTCATTGTTTTCTTCTTGATGCCATTTTGTCCTATTGGTAAGAGCCACAGTTTTGAAGTGTCGTTTTACAAGATGAACTGAACAGACAGTGTGTGCTTCTTCCAGACTGTTTTTGCACTTTGTTTCACCTAACTCCTTTAAACATTAACTGCTCTAACAGTTGTTAAACTACTAACTCTGGGTATTAACTCTTCTTTTCACAGCTGATTGCCTTTGATGATGAAATGAATGTGGATGAGGTTGACCTTTTCTTTTTGCCTTTTTGTATTGCTTTAACTGTGCTGTAGTTTTTGTTTTATGTAGTGTCACGCTGTATTGTTTTTCCCATTCCTTTGTGCCAGTGTGTAGATGTGCCAGATTCGATGTGTCATGTGCCTGTTTGTCATGGAAACCACTCGTATTGTGGTGTCCCTGAATGTCTGCAGTCACCTGCTACTTTCAAAGCTGCCAAACTTTCTGCATAGACTAGGATAATTTCTTGATTTTAGGCATAGAGCAGCCTTCACTTTTCAACCTCTGTCACCCTGAGCAACAATCAATGTTTCTCTCATCCAAATGGAGAGGTTGACGGTATGTAAGAATATCCAATTAGGCAGCAGTCAAACGCCTGTTATTACATTAATGAAATCTGCCTAGGAATACACTAGAATTGTAGAATTTTGTCAACTAAGGTGTTAATTTGTAGCTTAAGTTGGTCATGTCAGCTGAAACTTGTAGAAATATTGAGTTATTTTTGCTTTATAGTCCAGCTTCACTGTACTTGTGGACATTAGGAGATGGACAATTAGTTCCTCTCACCATAAAACAGTTGCATGGTATGGCTCTGTCTGACTTTTTCCATAAGCTTTTTATTGAATTAGAGAGTCCATTTCTGCTACTGATCTTGGTTCAAATGAGGTATTGACTTAAAAGCAGAACTGTTTTTTTCCTCTTTCCATTAATAATAAGCAAAAGGGTGAGAACATTAAAATGAAACTTTTTACAGACTCACAAATCTTACAGAACATTAGTTCTGATGAGGAAACATTTGATGATGAAAGGGGAATACCAAAAAGAGCATAGTGAGTCATTCATTGAGAAACAATTCTGTATTTTAAGAAGGTGACCAGCGAGGAGTAACTTTACAGTGAGAGATTCATGTTCCTTTTTCCATGCAATATTTTTTGGGGTAGTCTACCAATGACTTTATATATCCTAAAAGTTCTGTCACTGTCTGCTGTCAACCACAGTTTTTCCTGGTGTGCCCAAGAAAGAGCTCTGAGTTGCTGTCCTAACATATGTGTTTGAACTCGTAAGTGATGCTTGACTGAAAGGTGCTTTTCACCTTCAGCCTGCCCCTCTGTGAAGCAGGTGTAAGTGTTAATAAAGAAAGCCAGTCCAGAGGTGAGGAGAATGTGAACTGTGTATGCTCACACACAAGCCTGGGGAGTGTAGGGTGAGGTGTGGGGAGGGAATTCTGGGAAGGCAAATGGCGGTTTATCTGTATACTGTTGGCCGCTTGAGAAGAGAGAGGATAGGCCCATGTCAGAGCTTCCTAGGAGGTAAAGTGGTCCAGGCTGAAATCTCTACCCCCCACTTCTACTAGACTGAGAGGGCGTATCAGTTTTCCAGGAATTTGTAATGTTGTCAACATCACAGCCTTCCTTTCGTAAGCTTCTAGAAATGAAACTGAGCCAACAAAGAGCTGTTGTAACCAAACGGATAGAATCTAGTTGCTCAATTTAAAGGGGAACTAATATTTAGTTAGCTGTAGAAGTAGGTATCTTCAGAGGAAGCAATTTACTGAAACCTCATTCTGTAGTCAGGTAGCATTGTCCTTTCATTTGCATGCCTAATTTGTTAAACGACCAAATTTACATTTTAGATTGCTGTTCAAAAGTAGTACCGAAAATATGTCCTGACCATAAAGACATCTTGATGGAACAGATTTTGGTGACCGGAGGATAGCTTCTTTTTACCATCTTGTAGCATATAGTTAAAGTTTATAGTAAATCTGTTGAGGAAACTAAAGATAATCATTACCTTTCCATTACCATTACCAGTCCAGGCTTATCATTGAATTGTCTCAAAAGTACAGGGGCTTTTCAGCATCAGAAAGCATAAATCACTTAAGATAACATTTGAGAATTGGCTCCTAGAAGGCCAGTGAAAAACAAGAGAGGCATGTCTAGTAACACATCCTCTGCAGACCTCAAGAACTGTAAGAAACACATCCCTAGTGTAACTCTCTCTGTGCCCCATATGTCCAGCAGTGGTAACTGCAGGAAGCCAGTATGCTGCCAGTCATTGCTTATCTCTTTAAAGTCTTGAGGTTGTCCTTGGGTAGCAGAGTAAGCTTTGAAACTCTGGTGTGAATTGTTGCAAAACACATTTTTTTAATACTTCTATTTTTTGTGTCTTGTCCTTTAAAATATTAAAACTAAGTAACTGTCACATCTAAGAGGGAATTTATTAGTGATACGCAGCAGGTAATTCATTTCACTATAATTAGAACAGGGAATATAACCAAAATATATCAAGTGCTTTTTATTTATTTTATCCCACTTGCATCTGAATGAATTCATTATCTGGTATCAGCAGTCCCTCCACATTGGCTTATTTGATGACGTGAAGACAATTTCTTGCACCTCTAAGAGTTTATTTAGCTAGAGCAGTGCAATCCATGTGTATGTATGTGACCTGCCTCAAGTTACAAGAACTTTCAGGAGCGCAGGGGGGGGAAATCCATGCATACAAAGATACAGGCTTTCCTAGGACTCCAGGCTGCTGGCTGTTGCTATATTTTTCCTTCACTAGGGGGCGTTGTGAATGTGTCTGTCGGCTGCTCAGCCGTGTCCTACTTTTTCATGCCTTCAGAGCTGCACGATTCTTGGGTCCCTGCCAGCTCTCAAGCAGCAGTTACATAAGACCTGCCTTTTTTCTTTTTTTTTTCCTGGAATTCAGACTCTCCACTGATGTGTGACCTTCAGCAGTAATTGCCAATAAATGGGCGGCAGAGCTGTTTACTGTTAGATACTGGCAGCACAGCACGGATCAGGCAGAGTGCATAGGGAGTGCAGCGGCCCATTTTGCAGGCCCTTGCAGACAGTGCCTGTTAACTCTTTCGTGTTCCAGACCACACACCTCTGTGCTGAAGTAACTCATGGGCTATCTAAAGACAAGAGGCAAAGAACAGCCCAGGACTGTAGCTGAAGAGCTTTTCTTTTCCTGCAAGAAGACAGGACATTTTTCAAACACAACTTATTTGGAACCTGAGCATATTCTGTTTATTCATCCTTTTTAGCTTCCAAGCCCTGGAGGAAAGTTATCTCCCTGAAGTTAAAACGTTTTGTGCTCACGTGCCAGATGCACATATCTCAAAAATAAACGCACAGTACGTGTAATGTTTTTTTTGTCTTCTTTTGAGAGAAGCAGATGTGTTTAAAGTAACCTAAATGAACATGCCCATTTGGAGTCCAGGACCCCTGTAACTCATTTTAAAAAAAAAGATTAAAAATATGCTTTTCAGCCTTGAGGATCCAAATACAACCTGATAGTTTTATATTCATCTAAAAAACGATATGACATTAGGTAACTTTGTTACCAAGACAAAAATTGTTTCCGAAGGTAGTTTTGAAAAGGAGGCATGTTTAATGAACAACCTTCTGTTCTGTTCTGAGTGAACTGTTAACACCCCAATGAACTCACTCTTTCCCAAGTTCTGGCTGAAATGCAGCCTTACTTTAAACCTATTAATGACGTCACCTGAGGCTTACTGATCCGTGTTGCTGTGTATTTGAAGGGTGTTATACGTGTTTGTAAAACAGGAAACGTATACTAATTCTAGTCATCAGGTGGAAGCTGTACTGGACTTAAAGCAAAATGATTAAGACTTATGGAGCCCACAGCAACTATTTAACATAATTTATTTTACTCTATTCCAATGAAACCTGCACGGGGGTTGAGATAATTGAGGACATATTTGCAGGGAGCAATTGCATTGGTCCACTTTCAGAAAAGTATGTATGCTCAAAGCCTTTTTTTAAATGTACCGTGCAATGTGTGTGAGTGTACATGAGAACAAGAGTTTCTGTATACAAATAACCTAATATCTAAAAATCATGGTCTCTCTCATCATTTGAAAGTGTCTGAAAATTCTTTTGCTGCCTTTATCACTTCTGCCCTAGATTACGATCTTTAAACTCGTGAGGTAGGAAGCCATACAAGAAAACATACGTTGTGACCACATTTTTTTTTCATTCTCACGGGGTGGGGGTTTAGCAAGAAGCTCTTTGGTTTGGCTAAGGTTTCAATTAGAAAAATTGCCTCATATAGTCTAGGTGTCATTGCTAATCATTTACTCAGAAAGGAAAAAAAAACTTTTTTTTTTTAGGCATGGAAGAGAAATGTATGCTGGCTGAGCGGACGTTCAGGTGGGCTTGTAATCTTTTCAGGCTTCTGTGTGGCATCAGGATGTCCCAGCTGGCAGGAACTGGGTTGCTTCCAGTGACAGCTCTGTCGTCAGAGCTCTTTAAGGGCTCTGTTCAGGAAAGGTTTATGTAATAAAATGGCACAACGCTGCAAAAATTCCATTAGTAAGCATTCGAGCAATACTTGGGCTCAGTGCTCCTTCCCAGGGCTATGTTTTAATGCAAATGTATCCAAACGTTCAACACATTACCATGAAATCTGCAATATGTTTTACATGGAACATCAGATTAAATGTAAAGTGATCTCGGCATTGTTTTAAATGAATATTTCATTGTAAACGATGCTCCTTTTTCTTTTTCATATTTTTATTAATGGTCCTTTAGCTTAAAATAATTCTTGGTGAAGCACTGGAGGCACTATGATTCCCATTTGTAATTCTGAAAAGTGGACAAGACATTTATCATACAGCCTCTGGTTTCTCGCAATGTGAAGTTTGAGCAGTGTGTTTTTATTAAAATGAACATTTTTTTTGAAGAGGAATACGGCATCCTCAGAATACTAGGTAGACTATGTACTTTCACAGCTAGGGTGTGAAGATGAGTGCAAGCTGCAGACTGAACAGCAGTGGTGGAAGGGAAATGTTATTTACGGAGTGATAACGTGACCTTCAGGGATGAAAAGAGATTGGGTTCTCTTTTCTCAAGTCTCGGTCTAGCCTGTGAATATTCTCTACGTGTGAAAGTTCTTTCTCATCAGCTCTTTGGCCACTTCTCTAAAATCATGCTTTTGTTCTTTTTGAAGATATATATATATATTTGGGGAAAAACATGAATTGCTGATCCCAGAGCAGCTCTCCCAGATTTTAACCATAAGACTACAAGAAAAGAGTTTGTTCCCAAATTGAAGATGTGTAGTTTGGGTTTTGCTTGGTAACAGAGGAAATTAACTGCGAATGGAAGAGATTGGACAGCAGTTGTTTTTTTTTCTGCACACATTTTCCTTTCATTAAAAAAAAAGAGTGGGGGAGATTCCTGACTTGTCTAGCAGTTAGTCAAACAAAGACCAGTAAAAAAGGTTATTGGGTTTATTTTAAACCTGTCATGTGTAGTGTGACTTGTGGCAAACAACCTTTGCAAGGTGCAAAAGTGACTAGTTTAGGGAAATATAGTAGTTCCTTTGAGTTTTGTGAAAAGATTTCATTGAGTGACAGAGCGCCCAGTCCTGGTAGGTTGGTTCTCTCCCCTAATCTCCAGCCCTCGCACATTTGATGTGGTTTTTGTTGCGTCTCTTGAAAGTATATGGAAATCAGTGAGTCTTTCTCAGCTTCTAAAGTCAGCCCACTCAGTGTTTACTTGAGGTTTCAGAGTTGGAAGTTAGCTCAATGCAGATTTTTTTTTCTCTACCACGTTTGAAGCCAGTAGAAATTGTACTGGCAGGAAGAAGTTGCCAACTCATACAGGGAGAGGAGACAGACAAAGAGTCTTTTTGTACTATAGTAAACAGTCTGATTTTTACTGACAGATATAATCCATTGAGCTGAGCTTGGTAAGAAGTCAGCTTGAGCAATGGTGTACTTGGCACACATGAACTGGTGCTGTTTGTGACAACCCATAAAGTAAACATATGTGAAGGTAGGAAAAAATATATATATATAATTGTCTGGAACTTTTATGTAAAGCAGTCTGCATTTGCACCAATTTATACAGCTGGGTATTATACTGGAACAGTTTGGATGAAGTATCTTGCTCAAGGATACAACAGTGTCTCACCTGGGATGAGTCCACAACCTTCAGTTAGAAGTCCAGGACCCTAAACACGAATTCATACTATTTCTCTAATACAGCTACTGTAATGAGGAAACTATGCATCATGCTTAGTATGTTTCTTCCCTGCATTATGTCTTCTGTATTACAGGATTTTGCCATTATCTTGCCAAGTTGCATTATTCGATAAAGGCTTCCATTTCCTTGAGTGGTGCCAGACTGTGCTTTAGTATTAAATGTCACTTGTTCATTGGGTGCCTTTTGTCACAACAGCTTTCTTTTTTATCACTCTATCTCTTAATATCGTCATTGTTCCATGTACTAAACCAATGCCACCCAGTTCTACTGCAATAGAACTGCTAAAAGTGGTTTTCTGCTAAAATGAAATGTTGTTTGGCGACTATAGGGGAGGCTTAAAGCCAAGTCCGTGTAAAATTGTCCAATTAAATCAAAGTGTGTGACATTAGGAAAGTAAGTTACCTTTTGATTTAATGGGACTCCAAGGAATCTCGGCTGACTGCAAAGTGCATTAAGTCTCCTTATCCTCGATATGATGGTGAAGGTTTGCAGGACACTTTGCTATTGGTTTCTCAACAGAAGCTTAGCAATGTGAAAAAAATCAAAGTGACTTATTTTTCTACAGGTGTTCTGGTCTTTGAGACCATTTGCACTTTCAATTTATATTAACTGGACACAGTCCACATAGTTTGTTTCAGAGACTGGGTGTGTGTGATTAATTTATTGTTGACTGATTTCACAGCTACAGCAGACAAAAAATCCTTCATGGAAACTTCCTGAGCTCCTTGCCCTGTGTTTTGACAGTGTTACTTTGACAGTAGCCATATCATTAGCAGGGATGAACGAGGATATAATATTAAATTTGTCAGTAGAACTTCATGATGAATTGAGAATCCAGTGGAACTTTAGTATGTCTTTTGCAGCAAGGTTTGCTAAGAGTAGGGAGTATGGTTAGTATGTACCTGTTCAGCATGTTCAATGCTCTACTAGATGTGTTCTGCACATTTTGCTAGTTTACAGAAACTTTGACATTCGTGGCATTGTGACAAAACACAAATATGTATTTTGGGACAATAAAATACTTTTAATGTTTTCTATGATCACAAAATTGTCTTTTAGGTTCTTGTTACATTTTCTTTTTAAATGTAACAGTATTTTGAAATATTTTTCATTAAACACACACTTTTCACCCTGGCTAGAAGCTGCAGTAGTGCGTCTTGTTTTCCTGTCTTTCCTTTGTGAACTTTCAGTGGAATTTGGAAGGAATGGAGTCTAAATCCAATGTAGTTGAATTAATTAAGCCCATGGTGTGATGGGGTTGTAGTTTAGGAATGATTGTCATGGATAATTTAACTGAAATCCTTGCTTTTAATATAGGTAGTGTATCTGTCTTGACATGGGGTTTTGAATTCTCAACAAATTTGTTGGGACATATATTTAAAGTTTTATTGGACAAGAACAAACCTTGTTCTTCCTAAACCAAGCTAGAAGCCAGAAGACTAGACGTTCCCCAAACGAAGGTCTTGTTTGTTCAAATCAATTGGCCTGCCAGAGCACAAACTCACTGAACATGTCTGGGATGCTTATGTGAAAATTGTACATTGTGAGGCAGCCTTGGTGGTGACGTAAAACTTGGCTGAGGTTAAAATGATCTATGTGATTAAACGCAACACAAGAGGTGGCCTTCGTATCTCTTCAATAGGTATCCTTATTCTCCATACATTTTGGCCAGTAATCACCCTATACAGTATATACAATTTTGAGTTCAATCTATAAATCAAGGAGTCCGCAACATACTGTAGATTTCTTGCTAGAATGGTCTAGATTTCCTGTCAGTTGTGATTTCTAGTGGTGTTACAGAATGAGGAAAAACATATTTCATGTTTGGCTTCCCTGTTGTTTCCAGTCAGATGCTTTATTTTCTGTCACCTGATCACCCCATGATTAGCACCGCCAAGACCAGTTGGAGAAATCAAGTCTGGCAGTTGGGAAAGTAGTTAAACAGAATTCTGTCACCACACCTAACTCCTTTGCAAAAGCTGTTTAATCTAAGTTCAGGTGACTTGGCAGCCTGGTGTATGTTTATTAGCTTTCCTGTGGGCAAGGTCATGTGCTTCATGTCTAAAGGTAACACGTCTGCTTGTGCAGACATGTCTCGACTAATGGAAGACTTTTATTTCCAATTAGCTGGTCCCTCCTCCCGAGCCGGAAATCCCAGCTGAGGTGTGTCCAACACCCATATTTGCTTCACAACACAAATATGGGTTGTTGCTGATCTTAGATGTCCTGTGCCTGCATCCCATCAGATAACTACTCCATTCCTTATTTTAGCCATTCAAGAGAAGAAAGCATGTTCCCAGTGTCTTCTCATTTCAAAGCCCTCTTTCTTGGTCGTTCTTTTAATTAATTGTGTCATGGCGTCTCTTGACACAGTTTCTTAAATGGCTGAACAAAGTCTGACTGTTTTCTGGTCTTTTAGGGATTTTGAAAAGAGCAGATCAGGTGTTTTTGGTAACATGAGAAAATGAACTATGTTCTGTCAGCAGCCCAATAACCAGATTTTCAGTCTCATTATATAACCAGGTTCAAACCCATTTTTTGTCCAAGGCTTGTGTTTTGTTTTTTTTCTGGCAGTTTATCAGTAGTCTTATGTAATTAAGGTGGTTTCATTTTAGTTGTTTCTGCAGTGTTGAAATTTGTAAGCTAGAAATAACAAGCAGGTTCATGCAGTAGTAGTGAAGATTCGATTACTTATTACATACTAACAGGTTACTTATCACAAACCCTTTTAACACGGGGTCTTTACTTGAAATGTGCAAAAAATAAAAGTAATAACCATTTTTTGTTTTTCTTTTTGATTTTACTGGACTTTGCTAACCAGTGCACTAGTTGTTTCTGTCAACTTGTCCTGCATGTTTCTCAGCCTGCTATCACCTCCAGTTTAACTGCATGTTATAATCTGCAAGTTTTGTGCATGATGGAAATTATAGCGTTTTGCACTGGTGCCACATTTCGGTTTGCTTTCTTTTTTGAAACGTTTTTTTTTTTTGCTTTCCACATTTCTCACCTCACCCTCAGGAGCTTGATCAAAACCAGCCCCAGAAGCAACTGGAGGATCAGAAAAGGGTATGTAGTGCACAGCACACTGGAAAGCAACACTACCAGTCCTCTCTACCAGTTTTTCTTCATTCCTTCAACATTTGGATGGTTGCTCGCCACAAGGAGTTCAGCATTGACTTTCCCTAACGCATGCAATTTACACTGGAACTTACTAACCAACTGTGTGCAGTGCTGAATGAGAATTGCTGTACATCCATGATACCGGAGGCAAACGTGTATATTTTAAAATTGATTTTAAAATCATACGTGTACCTCCCTTGTAGTGTAACAGTTATATTGCAATACAGCAATTACTTCTTGTGGCCTCAAATAATGAACAAACCTAATTTGTGTTGACCGGCTGATTAAAGAGAGACCTCATTACAAGAAGTGTTCTGCTTGAGGAGTTGTATGAAGCCAGCATATACAGAACTTGAAATTACACTGACTGGGGGATAAAGGCAATAAAATGTCAAATATCACGCCATTTCTTTTCAAGGACAGATGTTACACATTCAAAGCATGGTATTCAGAAGATTACCATGATAGACGAAAGAAACGCTTGCAAAGTCTCAAGGCAGCAGCCTTTTATGTTTAAGAACTGGGTAACTGTACACCTTCACTTTAAATAACCAAAGAAGTGATTCGTGAAGCATGTCTCAGAATGACAGCATGTGCAGGTCCCTAGAGCCTGCAAGGAAAAGAGGGCAGCTGGTGTCTGCAGAATCTGAAACAGACTTTTTATAAAGGAAAATATATTTTTTTCATGTGTGCAAGAATTTGACTTTTTGGCTCATTACTGTGGGCTAGTGGATCTACAGCATGGAGCTTTAATGATTTCCAAAAGAATCAGTTCCATCCTTTGGGTTACAATACCGGTGGTCAGTGCAGTACTCCTTTTTTCTGATGATTCAGTATGCGTGCAATAGGAACTGAAGGAAGGTATTGCAGGTTTAAGCTTTCCCCTTAAAAGAAATATTTTTGCTATGAAAAGTGTCTAATAATAGGTCCCTTTTTATTTTTGTGTTCTCCTAGAACAAGTCAAAATATTTAAGTTAAATTGTAAGATAATATCAATTTGTAGAGAGGCAGGATGATTCATTAAAGAGGTCTAGTAGTGTTTGCATGCGAAACCCTTAATCAGTGCTCATAGATTTATAAGTACCAGAGGAACACCCTGCTACAGTGACCCATCCTTTTTTTTTTTCCTAATTCCCATAATATTTAAATGTGAGAAGATCACCACTTCATATCTCTTCTGGTTTGTCCAATTTGCCTCTCCTTAAAATCCAAAGACACATACTTAACTAATGGCCTAAGTTACAATTTGTCTTAAGCGTCAATTGGAAGCAAGAATTAACATTTTCCAGCAGTAGTTTTTATTTTTAGCCCTCTGGTGGCTGTGATGGATCTGTGCATGGCTAATACTTGATTTACTGTATGCGTGGTGTTAGTTCTAGAGATTCATGTTACAACATTTTTTAGAACTTCTACAGGAGGGTATTTTTAAAATCCCGAATTGACATCACATTCACCCTGCCACAACTGGGATCTTGTTATTTCTCATCTTGGCAATCTTCTCTTTCAAACAATGAGAGTACTCAGCTGAGTGGTTCGATTATGCATGCAATGCAAAGGATGCTGGGCTCACATGGTCTCCACCTGGTTTATCTAGGAAATCTGTTACCAGGAACTCTTTGAAATCACGCCAGCCCAACCCAAGTTCTTTCCCAGACAAGAACAAATTGTTTATTCAGCAAGAGCAGGGCCGAAGTCGGTGCCATGACTCTGTTCACACATTGACCTGATGGTCACTTAATCCCAGACCCATCCTCTAGCTGTGTGCCGCCTGTTTGGAGGTACTGCTGAATAACTGCTTTTTAATTTGTTTTTATTTTTTATCTCCAGGGAATCAGAAAAGCAGTCCCAGAATATTTAGTTTACATTTGCCAGTTCCACTCTCTGGCCTTTCCAATTGCAAGTGAAATCATGATACAAGCAGTGTCCTGAAATATTGGTGTGTTATTGGTCATGTTCAGATGGATCCTGAGATACGCAAAGCACTAGGTGTAGCTAGTGGTTTTTAGAGAGAAATATGTGAATGTTTAACGTTTATTATTCTGAACTTTGATTATTAATATCCCTTTTTGCTTTTTTTATAAAACTGCAATAAATTCGAGTTACTCATGGATGTTTCTAGTTGCTTTTAACTTGACTCCAGATATATTCTTGGTTTTGTGCGTAAACAGTTTTGGCCCATTTAAGTAATAAAAATAAATAACAATTTATCATTGAATGTTCTGGTTGTGAAGAGTATCTTCATGGCTAATGGCTCTTAAAATCAAGTTGGAAATTAATTATTCTTTCCACATGTGCCCAATGACTCATGACTCTATGAAGATTACTGAAGGATCATTTTGCAACTAATACTGAAAAAGTCTGTTCCCCCCCTCCCCCATACACTTTCCTTCTAAAGGGTGAAGCACTCAGGCAAATTTTGGTGAATCGTTACTATGGAAACTTCAGGCCTGGAGGAAGGAGAGAGAGCATCACAAGTTTCAGCAATGGCCCACTGACCCCAGGTGGACCTAGCAAACCACAGGGAGGTAAGACCAAGGAGCAAGTTGTACATTGAATTGTCTACTGAATGAAGAACAGGTTGTGGGTTTTCAGATCATAGTCCTGCAGGGCCCAACAGGTGTTCGGCAGCTTCATTCCTTGTTTATAACACCCAGCTGAACAATACCAGGAGAGTTCTTAGTGTTGTTCTTCATTACTTGAAAATATCGTTTGCCAACTGTATAATGTCACTGGCAATTTTTTTTTGTTTCAGAAATGAAATTGCACTCTATATTAGTTTCAAACTTTTTTATTTCTTTCCCAGGCAGTAAAAAACTATCACTTGCAGTATACCCATAATCACTTAAACAGTGACAAGTTAATCCTAATAGCTTGCCAATCAGCAATTGTTGAGATATAGAATGAATCTCTTTTTGCTGGCTGGTAGGCCTTCACACTGCTATTTGTTAGTGAATTATTTAGTTAGATGTATTAAAGCCAAGATTATGATGGAAAGTTGCACAAAAACCAAACACCACCAAAGCCCTCTAAGCCTCACTTCTTCAATCCTAATTGTGTAAAATCTGAACGCTTGGCGTTTTCCTCTTTCAGTACTGAAAAGGAAGTAAATAATGTTGCTTATGAATCTGACCCTCAGTTGAACCTTAAAACACATTGCAGTCTTTCCGTGTCTGCTCCGCAGTGAACTGAGGAAAGGCCATTTGGTCAGTACCCTATTTGGAGGCACTGTGTGAATACAACTGCATCTCTCACCAGTTAAAAAGACAGTGAGGGAGAGCTAATTGTGTTTTTTTGCCCTTGTTAACTCTTGCTGTTAAGATGGTTTAGGTATTGCTGCAGAGGATGGGCGGGGCAATTCTTTGCGTTTGGCAAATTTTAAAATAAGAGACTTTTCATGAGTTGATTTTGCATTTTTAATTGTTCACAACAAACTAAAAAAATTATAAGATATGTTACAATGTATTTTTGTTACTCTGTTCACCATCATTTCCCTTTTCACCCATGAATAGTGCATCAGTTCGTAGTCACACTCTGTCCCAGATTACTGGAAGTATCTCCACGCATTTCAATTCAGGCTTGAAGTTGCTAGGCAACAGGAGATTTCTTCCTCAGAGACTTGTCTTCTGCACCTGTGCAAGTAACGAAAGAGCAGCTTGCTTGCAGCTACAATGTGAACTTGAACATAAACGGAAGCAGGCAAACAATTGGAAAAGCAACCAATATTGATTTCCTGAAGAATGTTTAGTAAAGCACAAAATGAAATTCATAAAAGGACTATTATAATAATCCTAATGCAGCTGTGCTTAAGAAAATTCAAGATAATAGAGGAGTGCTTTCAAAATGTCCATTGTAACTACATTAAAGGCTTTTATCTTTATTACCGATTTTGACTATTTCATAATAAAAGAAGCAATAAAAAAATTGTGCGTATTATATTTCTGGCTGTTGATTGTTGTGTTATGTATTTTAATGCAATATGACCCTGTTAGAAATTAATATTTTTGTTAAAGAGCATTCTATTGTTTAGCCAGGCAAATAAAAGGATGTAAAACATCACTTCCAAGTTAGTCATGTTAGGAATGTCATGGTGCAGTTGTCTAAGCTTCAACCTGCAGTTTAAATGGCATTTATGAATTTTGGGCATGAATTGAAGTTTTTAAAACTTACAGCTTTCCAATTTATTAACCATTCATTTGTACCTTTCCATATGAAAATCATTGTTTTGTGCTGTCAATAAGAACTGTCAGAATGGTAAGAAGTTAAGGCCTTATTGTAAAATTTGTGTCTGTTAAATGTCCTATGAATGGCTCATGTGAAAGGACAGACTGTCCAGGTCCAAGGCTATTGCAGGCGTTGACTTTGTGGCCTCCTGTACCTTCCAGGTGGAGGCGGGGGGTCTGGGGTTCTGAGCCGTGGGGAGATGAGCCTAGCAGAGGTGCAATGTCACCTGGATAAGGAAGGGGCCTCAGACCTGGTCATAGATCTCATCATGAATGCCACCAGCGATCGCGTCTTCCAGGAGAGCATCCTGCTAGCCATCGCCCTGCTAGAGGGGGGAAACACGACCATACAGGTGAGCTCGAGTGGTCTCCTCCTGCCAGCATGCCTCGAGTTTGAAAAGACGTCACAAAGCACGAGGTGTGCCGCTGTTCTTCTTTGTGTTAATGTCTCTCTGATTAAATAACTGCGTTGATTTATGGTGCAAAGTTTACTTCTGTGTCATTGTTAGTGTTCTTGCCCATACATGCCATCAAAGTTATATTGATAGAATGAGTAAGTAATGCACGTTTTCTTAGCTTTACTCAGATCTGACTTAATTGTTTTGCACAACTTATCTGGTATTATATATGATATTAATGAATTGCAAAGTAATCTGAAATTAGTAATGTCAATGTTACTAGCCCCCTGGTTCCGTTTAGGACATAAGGCTGTTGGGACATATAGTAAAATGACATAAGGATGAAAGTTACGACATTATTTATTGGAGAGTACTGTGTCTTGGTCCCTTTTAGCTGTGCCAGCAGCTAATAGGTTGTCCCTTTGTCAGGCTGCTCTTTTTTATTTGTTTGATTCATGACGGCTCCATGTAGTTGCTTGTGTGTGCGACATAAACAGTTAATTCCTTTAACCAATATTTGTGCATGGCAGACCTAGTATACTGGAAAGCTATTTGAATACTAGGGAGGTAGTGAAGAACAATTTGTTGCTCTGAAATGGTCTTGAGATGTCACTCATAAGATGATTACCAAACTGAAGGGTCGCATTGCTTTTTTATTTTTTTTCCCCCATTTGTCCTCATTGTTGGTTCAGCTTTTGTGCAGCCACTGACTCGGGTCAAACTGAGAAGTGAAGAAGTAGATCTAAACCTTTGCTTTGTTTTCCTCTGTGAGAGCTTAGATTGTTTTGCCGTGAGGGATGGTGGTTCCTCAGACATTAATGCAATTTCCAGTGCTAGATTGATGTGCAAGTTATGGCTTGATTGTGATAAAAAAAATTAGGAAATGAGCAGAATTACTTTCATCACTGTGTTCGTCCAGCTGAAACCTATAAACGGATTGTGAGACGGAAAAGATTTTTCTCATAGCTGTGCACACCCAGATGATGAAAGTGATAAAGACATTTTTTGCTAATATTATCATCAGTTTTTGCCAAACTCCCTTGCCACCAGAGGGGTCACATAAACCTGGTTTATTAACAGTTCCCTTCCGTTTAAGGACACTCATCTCCCAGTTGCTGTGTTAATAATTCAGTGAGGTGCCATCCATCTGAAGGATGGGTTACTTGCTAGATGAGCCCTCGACTGATCAGACACACAGCAGGGGTTGTGTCAGCAGGCAGGAAGCTCATCGGGACCTTTAATTGATCGTCTGCTGGATTAGTTCCAGGCAGCTGCAGAGACAAGAACAGTTTCCTTTTACCATTTCGGAACGTAGAGAGCAGGGCTCAGGTTGCTTAGGCAACTGATCACTTAAGAAACCTCTCTGCTAGGTAGAAGCAAAAAGCAGGGTCTGCTTTTAGGGCAAGTGCGTTTGCCCAGCTTCACACGATATTTGAGTGTGCTTGCGCAAATGGGTGGCTTACATAATCAGATTATATTTACACAGCCCTTCTACCTGATAATACCAAGCTTCCCACGATTGCATACAAAGATGCTCACGTGACGAGTTACATAAGCCGCGCTTCACTGAACAATGCAGAAAGGCTCAGGCTTCAAAACATTCCAGGTCCCGAAGTGGGTCAGGTTTTACCAGCATAAATGGAACAACCTGAGGAGGTGTGTTCTGAGCCGCAGAGGGGATAGAGGTTTCTGTTTCAAGACGTGGACGAACTACATTTTTCTGTCTGCTTAGACCTGCACTGAAGAGTATAGACCGCCTTTTATTTGCTTTTACTGTAGCTGGTTGTGCTTTGTTCTTTCTTCTCTCTGTGCCTTAATGTCTTGCAGTTTATTTTCTTTCTTTTTCCAGATTATCCATTATAAATTATCTGCTTTTGTTTTTTAAAATATGCCATACCGTAAATTACTTTCAGGTTTTTCATGAAGTCATATGCTTTTAGATGACTACAAATTTTGATTATGAAGTCATTGTGCATAGAGGACATTCATGATATACTGTATGGCTGTCCATATGTTGGAATCAATTGTGTAACTTATACAAATTGTGAGGCACTTGGTAGTAGATGGAATAACCCTTGGGTATTTCTGGTTTAGTCCTAAACTACCTAAAACTGGAAAATTTAGAATATGTTTCAAGCAATACTTTATCAAATGCAGTCATTGTGTATGATACAGTCATCTGGTTTTCATACATTGAGCCACGTATTGGTTCTTTTGCCAGAGGTCTGTGTATTATTGTACTTCTTTCTGAGTATTTTTCCCCCATGTGTTTTGGCTGCCTGGCTACAGATCTTTCTGTAACAATGAACAATCATTGAGTTGGTTAAAATTTGTATAGGCTTTTGGAGTGCTGCATACCAAACACCTACAGACTATTCCCAGGAAATGGTGAAACGTAAGCTGTTTGTCAAAGGCTGCTCGCCACTGACCTTATGCCAGTACTCTGAGTATCCTTGTCATGGTAGATGATGTTGTTAGTTGAAATGGGTGTTCTTCCAGTCACAATAACCTCTTAATTCGCGGTTGCAAAGACTGTGGTTTGTGTTTGCGTCTGTGTAAGATGGTCTGTGGTGCGTCTACCACCCTTAAAACTTCTCCAGATAACAACCTGAGGGTGCTCTAGCCAAGAGGAAGTCTGCCGACCAGGCCTCTCACTCTCCCACAATTGAGGCCGTGCCTTACTATCGCCTTTTTCATACCACGTTTTCCTCTAGACTAGCTTCTCCTTTTCTGTTGCTTAATCTCTTTTTGCTGTTTTTGTTCTGTCTGGATGTTGCCCTTTCAGTTTTTATATTAAAAGTCAGGCAAGTTTAGAAAGTGTGATGCAAAGTGGCAAAGCAACATTTGTTCCAACTTTCTATATTATTAATTTGGCTGCTGCTTTTAACCCAATCGACTTTAATCCCCTTCTAAAGCTGGGGATTTTCCTAAAGCAATTTTAAGGTGCTTGCTCAACAGTTCTAAAGCAATACCACACCTGGGATTTGAACCCACGACACTCAAGGTCAGGAGAATAGAGCCTTAACCACTACTCCACACTGCTGACAAGACTTATAAATGGAGGTTTGGGTGAACTTTAATTTGAAATGGAAAAAGTAGAGTTTGTACTGGGCAGAAAGCTTTGAAAGTCATTCTGATAGTCTTAGGCCTTGCTTGTTTTTTCCTGTCCTCAGTTAACTGAAATCAGTCACATCTGGCAGCTGACAGACATGAACCAGTGGGAGTGTTGAACTCACTAGCCTCTCCAGACTTCACTGTGTGGGAAACCCCAGCTGCATGAGGAGTTGGGAATGAACCTGACCACTGTGTTACACAGGATGACTGTGCGCCAGCAGTGTTGTCAAATCCCATTATCAGTGTCTTTGGCTCCAAGTGTCGATGTGCTAATTTCTTTGCCTTATTCCGGTTTGTCTATCAGCTATCCACATTGCGAGGTCAGCCGTGACCCACAGAATGATCTGCACAGATGTGTTATGTGAGAATGCTCTCAGAAAGTTGAGCTGAAGCTCTCTGTTCTGTCCTCTCTGGTCCTCTTGAGGACTTTTTCTCCTGCCAGCTGGAGCCTGCCTAAGAATACTCATTGCACTTTTTGAGAATATCCCCTTCCACATCTCTCGAGGACTATTATATGAATTTAACTAGAACAGCTAAGTGCTCAGCCACTTTAGACTGGTGGATTGGAACAAATGCACCACAGATTTTGAGGTCTTAAAACTGCTTCCTGTAACAAGTTCATTTATGCAATATTTCTTTTTTGGGACTAGTATAACAAGGTTCATGAACAGCAAAATTTTGCCTTCGCAGTCATAACTCACGATATCACTGTCAGGGACAGAGTTACATTTTCACTGCTCTTTATTTCCTCTGGTGTTGGCCGCAATGCCTGCGGAACGTTAAAAAGCCTCCCTGTTTCATAATTCTTGGCAGCTTTTATAGGAACAAATGCTCTTTGTTGTTGGATCACGTATGGCACATAGCAAATTTAAAATATATCAGCAGATGCATCACATTTCTCTCTTATATAATGTTGGGTGGTTGCCCTTGTTTTTGGACAGAAGCTTTTTGTTTTTTAAAATGAAAAGCAGGAGAAAACATGCTAGCTGCCCTTCTGAGCGCTTTGTTTGTGGTAGGATAATCCCATTCGGTAGTCAAGCTGACTGTGAGCTCTGCGTCTGTTTGGAATGACAGGAGGTTAACTGAAAAAGAAATTAAATTTCCCGAATGCAGTATCTGCATCATTGGATGAAAAGAAACAGCCACGTTACGAGATACAAAGGAAATTAGGCCAGATCACAACTAGCATGCAAAACGCTTTTCAAACTCTTCTACAGGTATTCTAGTTATTTTCTGTACTACGGTTTTGAGAACATTTTCACCAAACCATTTAATTAAGGATTTTCTCATTCTGGTATAATTACACTTGACCTGATTCATAACCACATTAAAGTTGAATAATTTCTTGAAATGAGTTATCAGGTTAGGGGATCGCCTCCCACCTTTAAAAATATGCAACTCTGAGATTTTGGATGAATGGGGACGTATAATTTTTTATGAATCTGCTTTAAGACGTTTAGTCAATGAAAAAGCCTTCCTTTCCTCTGAGGTGATACAAGTTGCACAAAGGTGAATTAGCAAAGGAAGCATGTTCAGGTGAACCTGAAAACTTAGGAATCAAGGAAGTTCCACCTGAAAATCATCTAGTGTTTTAGTTTATTTGGCATTCTACCTGACATTGGATGGAATAATGTAGAGAAAAGAACCTGTTGATTGTGCTTACAGTCCCAACAAATCGACAAGTGTCTATGAAGTCAAACCATGTGATAATTTGAAAATGGTAGGCTTTTGTACTCTAGCCACCTGGATGGCAAGGGTAAAAGCACTGTAGATCAGTGGTTCTCAAAATGTGGTATGTGTACCACTTGTGGTACGTGGAGTGCCCCCAGGTGGTGTGCCAG